AATATTCATATTTGACCTGATTGTTTATAGTTCATAATGCGTGATCAAAACCGAAAGTTTCTGTGATGACTGCCCTTGTACTGTTCACCATGTAAGAACTTATTCACTATGTAAGAATTTGTTCACCATGTAAGAACTTGTTCGTTATGCTTCAGAAGATTGGAGACTGTTGAGAATTAGGCTTGGGGTTGATTAATGATTGTGCATTGAGTCCCCTATACAGAATTTTATTGTTGTTAACAACCATTTGATCAATAAATATGAGAGATGCCCTCTTAAAAAAAAAAACTACTCAAAACAGACCTGTTCACAGGCAGCTCACAAACTATTTTTCCTGCTTTCTCTTAAGAGTGATGATGCTGGGACTCTAAGTGATACAATGCAGCGAGCTTAACGGATATTTTTATATCTGTTGTTGCGTGCATTGCACAGTGAGGAAATACTGAGGAACACGGGTAATTTGTGTCCTCAGGCTTTCTGCAGAGTTGTGGATTCAGGTGTACAAATACAATAGAGTAAGGGCCAAGCTGGGCAAGGATATGGGCTGCCTAGACCCAGCTGCAGTATGTTCACGTTTAGTGGGGAGGATCCAGAGGCTGAGACCTGAAAAGTGAACAGAAGTTAGCTGGTCAGAGAGGGGTGTGCAGAAGGGCTAGTTTAGCCAAAAGGGTGTCTTTAAAGACCACAGAAGGCATGTGTGTTTGATCTTGATGTTCAGGAGGGTCACCATGTAGAAATGTATGGTGTAGTAGGGGCAGGGGCTGAAGCCTGCATTCCATCGGGCCTTCTGTACCATTTTAAGGAGCTGGGACTTGATTCTGAGAGGGCTGGGGCTTCAGTCAGAGAGTGGCCTGTGTATACGAACACAAGAGGGAGAGTAAACCAGCTGGGCAAGGGACAGAGAAGAGCAGCTGCCTTTGGAAATCTCTGTTGGCTTCATGTGAGCAGTTTGAAGCAGTCCCTAAAGGGACTCAAAGTGATGAAGAGGCCTCACCCTCCATGAAGGTGGCCAAGTTAGGAGGTGGGAGTGGGGAGATGTGGGTACCTCTGAGCTGGCAGGCATGAATGGCACTATTGATTGATTGGATATGGGCCAGAGAAAGGGCCAGGGAGGATCCCAGGTTTCTGACCCATAGCACCGTTCAGCAGGTGAGTGAGAGAAGAGGGGCAGGTTTGAGGGAGAAGACGGGCTCAGTGTGGGATATGCTGAGTGGCTGTCGGGTGACATGCACAAGATGTCCAGTAGCCCAGGAAAGACGTCTGGCCCGGAGAGAGAAATTCAGGTGTCATAAGTTCCATTTGGAAGCTTAAGTCACAGCAGTGCATAGAAATATCTTTGTAGTGTAATAAGAGAAAAGGGGCCTAGGACAGAGCACCCCAACATTTAAGGCACTGAGTCTAAAATACTTGTGACCTTTCAGTGGAAGATGCATACCTCACTTGTTCTCATCATGCAACAGGCACCTAATAACTTTGTTGCTTGCAATATTTAAGAAGTTGTTTTTCTTTGAGAGGAATGAGCTAATATGATTGGTATTATATAATGGTATCCCGTAAACTTACAAATAACCATAAATTCATAGGCAGCACATCACAGAAGCGTCTGTGAGAGCAAACGACTGAGGTGTCCCGGGAACTGTGCTGTCTCAGTGCTGGGGGAGGTGATTTGCACCGGATGTGCAGTACCTGCCTGGTTAAAGTCTAAAAAGATTGTTGTTGCAAAGTACGTACCATGGTGTTAAATCACAAACTATATTGATGATGATGAAGCTAAGCTAATATTAACTTAAAATCAGAAGGCAAATAAAGCAACATTTGAGTAGCACAGAACATGCAGGTTACACTGGTGCTGTGGCAGCAGAGCATCCTCCAAGGTGCATCCATTCCAGCTACCCCATCACATGCTGGAGAGCCCTGAACTGTTGATTGGCAGCTGACATCTTAGTAGAATGATGAGATAGTCCTTGTACTAAAGAGGCATTGGTTTTCGTTAAGTTTTATTAACACTTAATAACTTGGTACCTCAGTCACCATGTAGCTCTTAGTTAAACATAACAGTGAAAATATATAGGATTCACTTGGTTTCAAGTGAATGATATGAAATGCCATTTTGTAGGTAGAATTGTTGAATAATGGCAGTTTCACATGGCAAGCTTGATTAAAACTAAAAAGACGTACAGTCAACTGGAAGCCTATTAGGTGGACCTTCCCACACAGAGTCAGTGATGTTATCATGTGACATGTGCATTCCTAAAAATCACCGTGCTCTGCAAAGTGGGCATTAAAAACCAGAGGGATTATGGGAAGAATGGGCTTAGGGGCATAACACTCAAAAACGTCATGAATGACACATTAAAAAAAGATAGGGACCTAATAAAAAAGTAGCAGTTTTATCCATGCTGAATCATGATGAAGAGGAAGCACACAAATACTGTAGTGAACACGGCACTTCACTTTGGAGAAGACCCAAAGTTTGCAGATGGAAGTGGGTGCCCATGCTCTCAAGGCCCGGCCTGCTGGCCCTGAGTGGGAGAGGGCAGAAAGATAGTGAGAGAACAGGCTTGGGGATGGGAACATGAAGAGAGGGCGGAACAGGGCTGCCCTTACAGGGTTGCAGCTGTGGGTCATTGTGGGGGAGGCGGAAGGGACCCTGGTGTGGGTGGTGCGACCTGCAACACACATGGGATCCCAGGAGCTGGCAGGTGTCAGCAGGTGCAGCTTTCTGTATTTGGTGGGTGATGAAATCCACATGAGCAAAGAAGCCTTGTGCCCAAATTGTTCCCTAATGGATCGATTGCATTAGCACAGATCTGCCTTTCAAAACAAATTAGGGAGGCTGAGGCTGAGCGTGGTAGTCTGAGAACTGAGGATCTACTTCTGGAGGCCTCAGGATTGAGAACTCCACCTCTAATATGTCTTGAGTGCTGTCTGTATGCCAGGCTCTGCTTTGGGGTTGGAATACAAGCACACACGAAGCAGAGTTCTGCCAGGATGGAGCTGGGTTCTAGTGGTAGAGGGACTGTGCATATGATAGGCAGGCAGGTAGAGGGTGGAGTGGTGGGGTGGTTTTGATCAGAGGTCTGAATGGGCCATGTGGAGTCCGGCGCAGAATTCCCTACTAAAGGGATGTGGAAGGCACAGGCCCTGCCGCAGGTGAACCTCAGACAGCTCAGGTGCAGACTTGCTAGAGGAGGGGTGGTAGGAGTTGGGATGGAGGCAGCCTCGGAGGGTCCTGGGGGGGCTGCCTGCACTCTCCTACTGAAATAATTGCAGAGTTGAAGGGAAGTTGCAGGAAGAATATGGAGGAATCCTGACCACCCCACACTCAGTTTTGCTGGTTACTACTTGCCACGTTTTGATTATTCTTCGTGTTTACATACTATTTTTTAATCATTTGTGAGTCAGTTGCAGGCACTGTGTCTCATTATCCTTAAATACTTCAGTGTGTCTTTTCCTAGAACAAAGGTGTTTTTACATCACCACAGTAAAACCCTCAGAGTCGGGACATCTGGCATTGGCGTGGAGGGGGCTGTACCTGCAGCGATATTTGTGCTCTTCCTGATCCAGGACCCTGTCTGGTGTCACATGTTGCATTCAGTTGTCATGATTTGTTACTTTTCTTTAATCTAGAGTTTCTCAACAACCTTTATTTTCCATGGCATTGACAGTTTTGAAGAGTGCAGACAGCTAATTTGTGGATTCATGAAATATTTTATCTTATAAATCCTTCAAGTGCATTTATTTGATGATATGATTAAATCATCTGTCTGTGTCCTCTTCAGTGGAGGCTCTGGTATCAGTTTTGGTCAGTTGCTAGGGATGGGTATCTACCAGATTCTCCACTGGGAGCTGCTGTTCCCGTATACGTAATCAATCAGTGACCTGTGGGGAGATAAGTGGAGGCCAGGTAAGTACCTGCTCCTGACCACACTGTTCCCTACTGGGTTTAGTTTCCACTGGTGATTCTGCCTGAGTCAGTTGTCTATAATGACCATGAAATTGTGATTTTCCAGCCCCATATTGCTCTGTATGTATTTGTGGGTGTTCTATAGCCAATATATGCCATGCTATTAGTTAATTATTTATTATTATGAATTTATTATCAGTGTGGCCTCATTGGTGCTTATTGTATTCAATGAGTTATAATCCATTAGAGTCACTGTTTTCATGCTCAGATTGTTCCAGATTGGCTACATGGAGTCTCTTTAAGCTGGATTCTCCACCCTTTTCACAGTGGCCTTCGTTTGCTGTGTCAGACGGAGGTGAGAAGAAGTGATCGGCTCAGGGGTCTTAGAGGTAATGGAGAGGTTCTGAAACAGTTTCGCTGGCTGACGGGAATGGTGTCTAGAGACAGTGGCCAGTGCGTGTTGAGGGCCCCAGCAGGCTGCGGCCAGGAACTTGAAGTGCATTCAGCTGGCGTGGCTGTGTTACTGTTGCAGCTGATATTATTTTAGGTCTCCCATACTTTAGTCTCCTAATCACAGGCCTGGAGATGGTGGATATCTGGCTGGAATGATTTTAGGGAGGATTTTGCTATATGGGTAGAAACGTGAAACTCCAGGGATCAGGAACTAGGGTCGATTGGGTGGAGGAGTCCCACTTTCTGTCTGGCAGTCCCTGTGCCTTTCTAGGAATTGATTTCCACAATCACACACCCGATCTTGAGCTTGTAACTACCTCAGCACTTAAACTTCTCTTCAATACCTTTATGAAAACTAGAGAATTAACTTTTTGTATCTGAAATGTAACATTTGCTATTTATTCTACAGAAAGATGCTTCTGACCCCTTCAACCTAAATGAGTTACTAGATGAATTATCAAGGAAACAGAAAGAAGAGCTATGGCAGAGGCTCAGGGATTTACTGACAGAGGTGTTGTTAGACAGCCCTGTGGAAGGGTGGCACATGGTGGAGGCCCAGGGTGAAGACAATATGGAAATGGAACATGACTCACAAATGGTAATGTTGGTCATTCAAAAATAATATTTTTTCCTTTTGTTAAAAAATAATTGTTTATTGTGTATAATTGAATTTTAAGTTAAGAAAAAGTGTGAATTTCGAAGTCAAGAATATTAGAAGTCTGTTTACTCAGTTTTACCCTTTCCAGCCTCCCATTATTAATCTGATATTCAGTGTTGCTATTTGTTTGGGGCAGCTGGCTCATATTCAACTTTAATTCATTTTTTAGAATAAGCTGGTACATTTTATAAATTTAGTAACTTTTATATTTCTTTTAAAAACCGAATTGTAAGTGGGTGTGATTCGGGAAGAGCAGAGAGTTGCAGTCGGGACATGCAAGTTGGTTTAATTTGCTCATACTTTGATTTTTTTCATTTATATATAGAAAAAAAGCATGGAAATAATTTATGCAATCACATCAGTGATTCTTGCTTCTGTGTCTGTAATGGATGCAAGTGAGAACTACGAAGACTTGCTGGGATGCGCTGTTCTGTTAAACGGTGAGTCGGCTTTATTGTGAGGCAGAGCATCGAGAGGCGGGGCTTCTGAGAGACACTTGAGAGGCAGCCAGCAGGGAGGCAGGAGCAGGCGGTGGTGGGGCATGTCTTTGAGACCAGGCTTCCCTGTCAGCTAGAAAAGGAGCGATAGCATTCTTTTAAGGGCTGATTAAATAATCAGTTTAATTTAAGCCTTTGTAAATGCTTCAGGTGATAAATGCACATTACTGAGCAGTTAACTGCTGTTGTCTGCACACTTTTCAGAAAAGTCTTATTTGATTTAAGGACCAATGGTGAGAGCTTATTAAGGGAAAACACTCTGACTTTGAGTTTCTCAGCTGGTGATCACTGCCGGACAGCTCACTTCAACCAAGCATTTGTGATATTGAATCTTTTCCTTTAAATATGTTAGGAACATGACCTGAGGAATAATTGTTGACTCAGGGGAGTTTTACTGCACTAAGATTTATATCATGGTACTTTTCAAGTTTTAACCAAAGTGTAAAGGTGTAGTTATTAATTTAGGAGGAACAATAGTATGAATTAATGGGAATATCTGACTCTAGAATATTTACATAAAATTATTTTATAGTAAAAGATGTAAAAAGTAATTTTACGTGATAATTTTTAAGGAAGATCTCCCAAGTGCCCTTACCCCACTAAGTGCAGTAAGTCCCAGGTAACAAATTCTCCCATCTGGCCTTTTATTCTCAGTGCCACTTGGATGAATGTTTTATTCAGAATTCTTACATTGAAATTCAATGTTTTATTTAGAAGTTGAATCCAAATTTGAAAAAGGCTGTCGTGCTTTGAGACTGTTTCTACCAATTTGTTTACTTTCAGTCTCTGAATAACTTTCATAAAATGATTAGTGCTAATATTGTAGTTGTTCCCACTTCCCATTAATTTAGGAATTTTATATTAGTATAATGGCACTCAAATATCTATGGATTATGATTATGAGCACATTATTAGTATTTTAATTTAATTATTGAGCTTTTCTGTTAATAAATCACTGCAGTTTTTGTATAATATGAGCCAAAATTTGAGGCTGATTAACCTTAGAAATAAAACCCAGTTATTTGACCAGCAAAAGTGGGTGATTCAGGAACAGCAGAGAGTTGCAGTCGGGATGTGCAAGCAGGCGAAGCCACAGGTGGTGCAGCCAACAAAGGGGGGCAGGGGGAGGGCCGGGAGGGGCCTGTTGGGAAGAAAGTCCCCTGGAGAAAAGTGGGGCTCCCGGGTGACGGGGCCCCACTGGCCAAACGGCAGGGGTGGATTCCTGGTAGGAGGTGCCGCGCGCATCTTCCCCAGTGGGGCCTGTCCTTGGGGACCCTGCCTGGTGAGGATTCTCCACTGGGGTCCTGGGCATGGCCTTCTGGGGTGGGGAGGGCAGAGTTCACGGCTCCGCCTCAGTGGGGCCCCTTCATTGATTTTCACAAGGCCAACATATGGAGGGGCAGTTGTGGATCAGAGATTGTCAGGCCTGACCTGACTTAGTGGTAGGTGTGACCAGGGGGTCACAGTGCTTGCGTTAGGGTGGCCTCAGTGTCTGCCTTTTAAATTAGGGCTTTTGGCAATATTACCTCTCTCTCATTCTTCCAGTTCTAAAATTCTCTATTCTGTTGGATCTGCTTTTATAATAGTAGTAAAAAAATTTTAATTAATGTCATTTGTAGTCTATAAATAATGTGTATAAATCTTTGGCAAGTTAAATATGAATTAATACTTGCTTAACAAATCTCTGTAAGTCATAGTACTCTACAGCATTGAATCTGAGCTAATACTGATTCACTTTACTCTGACGATTACTGTGCTGTTTTAGGTATTTTATATGCATTGCCTGAATCTGCACGAAAGTTGCAAGGCTCCATTCAGGATCTGTGTGTCATGTGGTGGGAGAAAGGCCTGCCTTCCAGGGAAGATATGGGGAAGACGGCTTTCATCATGTTGCTGCGGAAGAGCCTCAAGACTAAAACGGTGGGTTGACTTCTTGAAGGACGTACATGTCTCTAAGTTAGGGATCAGGTTTGCCTGTGAGCGGTCTGACTGCAGTGGCTTCCCAGTCAGCGCTTCTTAGACCAAGATGCTGAGAGGAAGGCGGTCAGCGGGGTAGGGGCTCCCCGCTCCCGTGCGCAGGTTTTCTCCGTGCTCCTGGTGGTGGCCCTTGTCCTCCCTTGTCACTTCGTGGTCCCAAGGCGGCTCCTCACCTCCACTGCCACCTGTGAGTTCCAGGCAGGAGGGAAAGGCCAGTAGCAGCAAGGACCAGACCTTAGAAATTGTCAGCTTGTAGCCAGTAGCCAGAACTGTGTCCCATGGCCACATCTGTCCGCTGTAGATGGAGTTTTTAAAGGGACATGTCACCACTCCTAACAAAGGTGGGGGTCTTCTTAGTAGCGAAGAAGGGATCAGATACTGAGATGGGCAACAGGAGGTGTGGTCCCCTGAGAGGCAGGCCCCGTGGGATTGAATGAGGCTGCACGTGCGTGGTGAGGGACAGAGGGGCAGGAGCGGTCAGGTCCCGCCTGCTTCAGACCCACACTCAGAGCCACCCCCACCACACCTGTTGTGGACAGGACTGTGGCCAGTCCTGCCAGGCTGCTGACTAGGGAAGTTTGGATCGGGCCAACTGGCAGCATTTGAGAGTTGGATGTAATCTTTGGTACACAGTTCAGTAATCCAGAAAAAGAACAGTTATTTCCCCTGACGAAGACAACAGATACTTATGTACATCTTAGAAAACTGGGCAAATGAAGGAAAGCGAAAATGAGGAAGATAAAAGTCATCCATAATTGCACCACCCAAAGTGATCTTTGTTATTTTAGAGATGTTGAAGAATTTCTCTTTGACCCCCACTCCCACCCCCCAGCTTTAATTCCTTAAGACAGATTCCTGGAAATGAAATCTGTAGGTCAGTGGATTTGAATTTGGACCTCCTGATACATGTTGTCTGCAGCTTTCTAGAAGTTCTACTCACGCATGGTCCCACTGTCTGTGAGAGTCGGCTCTGTGGCCTCCAAGGTGCAGTCAGCTTTATGACAGAAGAGACACTTTAGGGCTGTGCCCTCAGCCAATTATCTGACTTGCCCTTCAAGTGACAGAAAAATCCTTGTTTGTGTCAGAATATATCCTTAAGCCATTGTTGGTTCATCTTTTTATAATCCATTTTCCTACTGTTTTGCTCAGCTGTTAAGACTATTTAAATCTTCCTAATGTTCTAGACCTGTGCTCTCCAGTACACTAGCCATTAGTCACATGGGCATTTAATATAAATTTAAACTTGAGGTAATTAAAAATCTGGCTCCCCTGTCCTACCAGGCCCATTGCATTTGCACTGGTGTGTGTGCAACTGGCTGCTGCCCTGGCAGGGCAGACTGAGAGAGAGGTCTGTGCTGTCACAGGGCTGCACAACAGTGCTGGGCGTCAGCACTTCTGCTCGCATTTACCTGTCTTATAGAAAAATGTTTTCCACAGCTACAAGTGTATTTGCAAATTTTAAATTTTAAAGTCTTTTCTGGTTTGTTATTGTTTCTTCCTCTTTGACAAATAATCTTCGCGTGTAATTATTTTTGATAAAAAATATTCTAGTCATTTTGAATTGTGACTTTACTGTTCGTTAATTCTAATGTCTTTTTTCCTGACGACCTCATAGGGTGCAGACATATGCCGGCTTTGGCGTATTCACCAAGCTCTGTATTGTTTCGATTATGATTTGGAGGAAAGTAGAGAAATTAAAGACATGCTGCTTGAGTGCTTCATAAATGTAAACTATATCAAGAAGGAAGAAGTGAGTGGTGCTCCTTTTTTCGAGTGTTTGAAAACTGCTTTCTAATGGATGTTTTTCATAAGTTCATGTGTGGTTGTTTTTTGTATTGTGCTCAGGGTTTTACTGAAATAGGGCTCCGTTCTCAGAGCTGTTATATTTGTTGCACATCATTTTTACTGCATGGCTGTATTAAACATTTTATAAGTCATTGCTTATTTCGTCATTAAACCACATAATTGCAGGTGGCTGTGTGAATCCTGGGGAACCATGATTGCATTTTAAATAAAGAATGATTAAAAATAAGGTTGAGAAAGCACTTCCCCATGGATCAGATCTGACCTTCTGCCCTAATTCCAGGTTAATTGGCATAAACTCAAAACTTCCATCACACAGTACTTTTTATTTTTCTCCTGCCCATCCACTAACTCCCACTGCTAACTGTCCATTCTGCTGGTCCCTCCCCCATATGGCTACTGAGCACATGGAATTTTGCCTGAAGAGGAAAATCCAGTCTTAAAGCTTAGTAAGAAAAAAGAATGTAAGATATCTCAATTCTCCCGTATTACAATGCCTAAGTGATAATGTTTTGGATAGTGGCCTGCATGTTCATATCATTGTCATTGCTGCTTCTGACCTTCCTCCACGAGGCTGCTAGGGAGTCCCGATCACAGAGTGGCTGCATTGCTGTTGGACAGCGCAGAGCTGTTGTCTTTGGGGTCTTCTGTAGTCGTGTATGGAACACTGACCATATTCCCATGCTAGGGATGTAGAGAAGTTTCTTATAATTACAGAATGTAGAATATAGCCTTTGTTTTTTATTCTGGTAGCCTAGCAGATGTATATCTGAGGCAAAAGGAGGGAGTTTTCACTCCCTGTGGGGTAGGTGGGGAAGAATTCCTAGGGAGGAAGATGAACACCTGCGGCCTGTAAATATCTGTACGAGGTCAGCTCGTCAGTGGGAGACACGGGGTTTGAACCTGATTTGCCTGCTGCCCAGGGTGCTGTCTCTAGCCAGCTAGGTTCCAGGGCCATATGTGATTGCTGACCGTCCTGACCAAGACCTTCAGCACCTCAGGGTCAGATCTCTGTTGGTCCAACCGATGGTGGTAGCCTTGGTCAGAGTCCTTGGGAGCTCAACTTTCTTCTGTGAAATAGGAACCAACAGCTGTGCCCTTGGGATTTCTGAGGAGCACTGAGCTGATGAGTGAAGGACCTTTAGCCCAGCACCTGGCAGGTGTGTGTCTGACTGCTGATGCCATTCTCGTTGGCAAAGATGCTGATGGAGGGCCAGTGCCCTTGGGACCTCCAGGATTGTTAAGAAAGTTGGGGAGAGTAATGAAGCTAAGAGCAGTTTCAGATAAATGAGCTTTATTTATATTGACTTATGCACAGTGGTTGATGAACTGTCCTTGTTTAACATGTATATGTGTACAAGTATAGACGCAAATATACCTCTGTATGTTAAAGCTTCCCATTTTTTTTAACTTGTGCTCTTTTGAATTTAGGATACCTGAACTTAACTTCCTAATCAGTTATTAATTTTGTCAGCCAGTTTCCAGTCATTCTGGGTAAACAGCAAATATTTTGCACTCTACTCTCAAGTCACTTCTGCTTGTATGAAGAGTGCTGCATGTCTTTTGGGTTCCAGAGGCGGTAGTGATATGCTGGTAGTGAAGTCTTGGTAGATATGTTTTATGCACTCCCAAGACTATATATTGTATTCTTGCTTTTTAGGTTCATATATGTAATCTAATAGCATGCATGTAAATTATCATTACATGATATGTACATGACATTTATAACTTGGGGACTATATGTGTTTGAAAACTCTAGCCTGGCAAATATTTACCCTCTTAACTTTATCAGTCCTGTTTTGTCTTTTATAAAAGATGAAATGAACTCATGTTCAATTCCATTCTATCCCTAAATGCTAGATTTCAAGCACTCTTTGATTTTAGGTTATGTAGACACATACGAAAGAGCCAGAAAGAAATGTTTATGGACCATTTAAGGTACTGCCAGGCAGCATGGTGCATTTGTGCTCCTGTGTCCAGCAGGGAGGGAGCCCAGTGGTGTCTGCTGCTAGACCCTCTGCCGGGCATCCCACCCTGGCCCTGCTGTCTGGGTCTGTCGTCCCAGGGCTTCTACCGCATCTGCCACAGGGGCTGCCTCTCAACCTGAGCGCCTTCCCCTGCATAACTCCAGTGTACAGATTCTTGGTTATAGTTACGTGGGCTTCCTTTAGGCATAACGAACAGTGGTATTACTGAACATCCAAAGAATTGTTTGTGTTTGGTTTTGGGAACGTTTCCTTGTTTACAGTGTAACACTATGCCCTATTTTATTACTTACAGGGAAGAAGATTTCTTAGTTCCCTCTTCAACTGGAATATAAATTTCATTAAAATGATCCACGGGACCATTAAGAACCAGTTACAGGGGTTACAGAAGTAAGTATAAAAGACAGTATTTTGTGCTGTCTTAATTTGGGTTTGAAAGATTTTATTTGACTTTTAAGTTATAGTAATGTATTAAAAACTTTATTAAATTTTGAATTTGTTAAAATTCTCTCTTAAATTATATAATTTATTGTGTACTATTGTCTTGCTAGATAGTTTTTCCCTACATTGAAAACCATTCTTGTTCAGTAATGATACTGAAATTAAGATTTTAACTTGTGGTAGTCCTTTAAATTGTCAAATCACTTAACAGTTAAAGTTAAATCTCAGCCTCGTCACAGTAAAGCCTGTCCCTCACCCTTCTGGTACTGTTTGAACATGGGTCTGCTCTCTGGTGTACTGTGGCCTGACGTGGTCAGTGGGAGAAATGCTGCAGGTGAGAGGCCAGGGTGCGCTCTCCGGCCAGGGCTCCGCCCAGCAGACGCTTGTCAGGCACAGGACCGAGCGCTTAGTCTGTGCTTTAAAGTCCAAGCCTCAAGCTCTGGAGGTAGCCTTGCTCACTAAATTTCCTTCAGTCAGGCAGCTGTGTAAGCACTGAGCTGGGACTTGATTCCGTACCTCTAATCACAAAGGCCCTGCCGTTGACTACCACTGTTTACTCAGCTTTCCTCATTTGCAGAATATTTGGGTTGAATCAATAGAATTTCTAAACTATGGTTCTAAAATTAACTCTGGTATTTTCAGGTTCCCTTTACCTAAAGGACTTAGTAGCCTGGAAAGTCCAAAATTGACTCCAAGTCAAAAAATTTATATATAAATGCTTTTTCACTTAAGAATTTGGTTCTGGGCTTATGTTCTCAGTTTCACAGAAGACTGTAAAGTTCTGGGGTAGCTCTGGTTGAGAAAAAAGAGAAAGTTTGATACTATATTGTACTTCTTGGACTTTTTCCATTGTCTACTTTCTGCCACAGGTGGATAACATGTCTACAGATAGTTGTCAAAGTACTAGGCTAAAACCACGTTTCTCCTTCCCTAGACTAGGAGAGCATCTGGAATGATACACATTAAAAGTACAGTTCAAATGAGCCTGCATTAAATTACTTGATTTTTTTCAATAGATCTTTGATGGTACACATTGCAGACATTTATTTCAGAGCTTGGAAAAAGTCTTCAGGGATAATATTGGAGGTATTTTCTTTTCATTTTATTAAAAATGTTAACATTCGCTTTCATTGTATTTTAGTTTCTGAGTAAGTAGTCATGGAAGGGTCCCTTAAGCCCTCTGTGGTGCTGTCAGGGTGCAGCCCAGGATGGGACTGATAGAGACACATGTCTCCGTCTTCTGCCCGTGGGAGTGCAGCCGTGAGTCCTGCCCTGCCCTGAGACGTACGGCTGGAGTGAAGTCAGGACTCACCCCTCATTTTGGCATCTGTAGACATGCTCTGTCACGCAGGCACAGCAGCTGACTTTTGAAACATGACCGATCTGTATTGAGATATGCTGTAAATGTATGAAACACCATATTTTGAAGACTGTGTGTGGAGAAAGAAGAATGTAAAATATCTCATGAATGTTTTTTAAAAATACTGCTTGCATGTTTGAAATGATAGTGTTCTGGATATACTGGGCTAAACAAAATATTACGATAATTTTATCTTTTTTTTTTCCTGTTTTTTGTGGCCACTGAACAATTTTAAATGGCATTCATGGCTTGAGTTGTTTCAGTTGGACAAAGCTTTGTGGGAACCTCAAGCCACTTCTTTTAGTTACATTATTTTTGTGAATTTAAAGACATTTGTTTTGAATATGGCTAATGTATAATGACTGCATAATATCTGTATTACAAAGATATGGCTACATAACTAACAAACACAAACATTCAAAGACCCTTTTGGAGAAAATCAAAAGAAAGTTTGATATCCCTGTGTTTTTCTCATACTAAGTTCTCAAATGTGTTTTCTTTCCCTCTGAGAGTAAAATACTTAACTCTAGTCACAAAGGGGTCTTTCCTCTGAGGAGCAGGTCCTGAACTGGTGGGTGGGGGTGGGATAGCTGGTGTTGGGAGTTTGTTTCTGACCACCCTGCTCCCCTTCCAGCTCAAGCTTGGTCTATGTGCCGGGGTTTGTCACTGACTTCTGTCACTCAAGTTACCCTGATGACAACTTCTAGGGTAGTTTTATGATGTGTAATTTTTTTGGGTAGAGGGCAAAACCAGGAGATTGTTATGCGTTTTTTGCATTGTTTTATGATTGCATGAAGCTTGTTGTAGGAACAGTATCCCTGTTCTACAATAGTGGTTTAGAAAATAGGAGTTTGTAATTTGAAACATGGCTTTTTGACTAGATTTCTACTAAATTTGTACCAGCACTCTGTACTCAGGCTTCCTCCCTCCAAGTTTTTAAAGCAAGTTCCAGGCATGACATCTCATTTCATTGTGCTTTAGTGTGCTCATATGCATCTCTAAAATATATGGTTATAAAACGCCATATTCATACTTAACAAAATTAACAATAATTCCTGGGTACTTTTAAAAATAATTGGGCCATATTTAAATTCCTCTGCTTTTTTTTCAAAAGTGCCCTTTTACAGTTTTTTGGAATTGGGATGCAGCAAGTCTTGCATGGTGTCTGCTTGCTGCAGCATTTAAATCTTGCAAAGTACCCTCCCTCCCTCCGTCCCTCCTTTTCTACTTTTAAAATCTATGCTGTCACTGTGTTGAAGAAACTGGGTCTGTGTCTTATAAAATGGCCATTTGCTGGTAATTATCTCTGCAGGCTCAACCTGTGTGGCACAATTACTTGATAGGTAGTGCCGTGTGTTTCCTATTTCATGGCAAGTATGGGGTGTGCCCTTCCGTGTGGAGTGATGCTGAAATTATTAGTGGCTTCAGGTGAAGGAAATATTTTCAGAGATAATGGAGAAGGGGTTAATAGCAGCAAGCTTTCCATATATTTTGCACTGAAGCCATGAAATCTAGATGCAGGGGCACAGAGTACAGGGTAGCAGACCACTGGGGATTTGGGCTGCTTCTGGGATTGGCCTTGCTTAGTCACCCAGCTCAGGAGGATGGTCAGATGCCTGGGTTAATGGAGGAGCTTCACTTACCACTAACGGCCTGTCCCTCTCCTTGGCGGTCTGAAAGGTCTTATTTCAGTCATTTTGAGGTCCTGGCCCCCATCTTAGGGGCCGTCAGTGTCAGTTTAAGGGAGGCTCTTGAGACAGACCCATTCTTCTGGGCTACTGGGGTCAGGATGACTTAGTGGAGGGGGCTCCCAGGCCTTACACAGTCTCAAAACAGCCTTGACTGGCAGGGTGAGGTCTGTCCTTCCATTTAGCACAAATTTGGTATTTCATCAAATTAGAAGAAACAAGGTACTAAAGCTGAAGGAGTTGTAAGAGTTGTAGATTTAAACTGGAAAGCTCAGAGGAGAGGGTCACATCCTCCTCATGGGGCGGAAGATGGATGGGTCGGACCCTTTCTGTGCTCACACTGCCCGCCCTGCCATCCGTGGGAGGGCACCCACTTATTATTCCAGACAATTGAAAACGCTTGCATCCAGGACTTCATGTACCATGGGATCCACCTTCCGAGGAGGTCTCCAGTGCACACCAAAGTGCGAGAGGTGAGCAGGACACAAGAGCACTGGTTGTGCGTCTTTAATAATGCGCCACCTGTGTTTTTAGACAGTTGCCTTTAATCAGTGTAAAAGTCAGGCTTTCCCAGGCACCCATTAAAGGATTTTTCAGTCTTGATATTCGGTATCTATTGCCATAACAGGAAAGAAAGTCAGAACCTTAGTCAGACAATCTTTAATTCTTTGACATAAAAATGTCCAGAATCATTACTTTCTAACTGCGACTACCACTTGTTAAAAAGATATCTGAGATTATTTTTATTATTTAGTATATTAAATTTCCATTTTGGTGTACTCTAAACCAAGTGAAATAAATGTTCTAATAGTTTCTCTTCATAAGATTTTGTATTTGAAAGAATCTCGGTATTGGGTATGAATTTTATCCTCATATTGTGAATGGTCTGACTAAATAAGGCTTCCATATCAGCACCATTATCACAGTGCCAGGTAGCTGGTGGTCACGGCCCTGGCCGGACTTGGAGACTCAGTTCTGTGTGTTACTTGGCACCGTGGTGTCTGTCTTGTTTGTGGACTGTTAGTGTTGGTGGTTGTGTGTCAAGAAGCTAAGTGAACAATGGCTGCCTTTTTTACTTTTGTTTAGTGAAATCTCTATTACTTGTAGAATGCTAATAAACTGGTCAAGTTTGAGTGGATAAGAAAACAGTTCATTCTGTTAATGACTGGGTCTGAATTAAAGAGCCCAGAGACGCACTCATCCAGTTGCCCCCGAGCCCCAGCCCCACACAGTTCCAGTGTGGCTTCATTTAGTTGTAGATCGGTTTGGGTCATTTATTTCACATATGATTTGATGTTTTAGGTTCTATTTCATAAAGAATGGCATCATGTCAAACTGTGCAAATCTGTGACATAGTTCCTTTAGTCTTGGAACCACCTAACCACTTTTTTCATACCCTGTTTTTGCTGTGGTAGCCTGAGTAATTAAGATACTGTAAGCATAGATACCACTATTTGGTAAACGTGGGAAAATGCACAGAAAGAATAAAAGGAAGTATATCAGATTTCACTTTTCAAATGGAAATGTGCTCTTGGATTCCAAGTAATTGTTAGCCTTGCTTATAACACATTATAGCTTCTTCCTCAAATCCTTTTTTTTTTGATAAACATCATATTTATACAATAAATCATTGCTGAAAAAAGCTTCAGGAAATGCTTTACAAGTCATTTGAAAGTAAAAATCCCCATATTGTTGATGCACATCTTCTAAAATTAGATAGTAGTAATGGTTGTACAACTCTGAATATACTAAGACCCACTGAATTGTCTACTTTAAAAGAGTGAACTTCTGCAGGATGTGAATCGTTATCTCGATAAAGTGTTTAAAAGTTTTTCTATGCAGTGAATATACCATTGATACCAAAACTTGACAATATTATACACAAAAAACAAACCATAGACTACTACCACTTACCATCAGCAATAAAAACTCCTAAATAAAGAATGAACAAATAGAAAAATAATCCCCAGACTGTAGTTCTTTTAGGGTAAAGTTGATCCAAGTTCACTTTTAAAGTATAACCTATTATTTTATCTGTTTAATTTTTTAATTTTTCTATTTTTCACTAATAGAATTTTAGTTCCAAGAGTTGTGGATTAAGGAAGCAAAGCAAAATTGTTGGGGAAGGAGTCTGCAACGGGCCATGGGGAGGTCCTGGCTTGTGCAGAAGGGAAGTGGGCAATGGCGGGAGTGGGTATTAAGGACGGCCTGCTTCTGACCCTTCACGAATGCTGGGAAGGAGTTGGTGTATGAAGGATCTCAAGTGATGACACCTGTTTGGAGATGTGCCCTTATTGGTTCTTATAGCAAAAAAGAGTTGCAGCCAGCACACTTCAGAGCCAGGACAGGCTACAGAACCTGCCAAGCGACCCCTCCATGCTCTGCTTTCCCATTTTACCCTGAAGGTCAGAAGTTTATGAGGCTGTGTGGTTGTTGGTAGAAGCGTGGAAGTGAGGTCCAAACACCCTCACAGCCCAGGGTGCCGCTCCTTATCTCGCCAAGGCCCATTTCATGTGGTTGGCCATGTCCGGTGCTGTGTGTGCCTGCGGTGGTTCCCTCTAGGAAGGACTGTCAGAACTTGGGGGCACACAGGCCTGTTCGGTGGTGAGAACAATCTGTTCCCTGTTGGTTTTTCTAAGTAGGATTTTAAATGCTTTTTTAAAACAACAATAGTACCTTTCTTTTCTTGTCCTGGTTGTCAGGTGCTGAGTTATTTTCACCGTCAGAAGAAAGTACGGCAGGGAGTGGAGGAGATGCTTTGCAGGTTATACAAGCCCATCCTCTGGAGAGGATTGAAGGTTTAACTCTAACCCTTCCGTGTGTGTTTACAGTGCCAGCTGTGCTGTTGAATTCGGCATACTCTGATCCAGAATTGCAACAAAGCAGCAAAAATAAGACTGGGGCTGGAGGCTTGGTGACAAATGTTTTACTTTTATTAAAAGCATTTCTTAGGCCCATTAAACTGGGAATCAAATGGATTTAGTGCTGACTACACATTTGGAAAGAGCGTGGTCATGCTGTCAGCCAGCAGAGGTGGGAGGCTGTAGAGCTTGCTGCCATCCTGGTGACCAGGACAAGATTGCAGCATTCTGAGGAGTAAATTTCAATGCAGGCAGGTCTGGTGTGGGTGATAGGATATGGTCACTCTTAATGACACAAGGTGGGCTTTGAAGCAAGACTGTGGATTGAACTCTCAGTTCAGTGTTGACAGATACTGACATTGTGCTGAGAGTTCAGCTTAGCTGAGTAAAGGTCTCACATGCTTGCTCACCTGAAATGTTACCATCACCTTTACTTTGTAAATAAGTCTGTTTGAGGGGCTAGGAGCAGTACTTTACTCCTATATGGAACCCTTCGATTGTCATCTCTTTGGTTCTGAAACACTCTTCTTTCATCGTTGCAGGCAAGAAACTCGGAAGTCCGGTCAAACGCTGCCCTGTTGTTCATTGAAGCATTTCCTATTAGGGATCCAAACTTTAATGCCATTGAAATGGATAGTGAAATTCAGAAACAGTTTGAAGAACTCTATGTACGTATTCCATGTGGTCAAGCTTCCTGTGACCTCAGCTCTGTCTGCGCCTGGTGCGCATCCTGGCCCTCCCCCTGTTACTGCCTGTGTGCTGCCCCTTGATGGCAAGCTTTGTAGATCTTGGCTTTCTTCAAGTAAATACATTCTGTCCTTGGGGCCTTCTGTGACCTCACGGACCAAGTGTCCTTTCCTCTTCCCCTTCGTCTCCTTTGGGATGCCTCACTACAGTTAAGTGTTTCACGTGTATCCTTGCCTTAGCAGAAGGGCAGTATAATGTGGTCAAAACAGATGCCTGGGTTTGAGTCCACCTCTCAGGTGATAGCTGAGTGACAGGTGGGTCCCTAGCTTTTCCATGTGTTTATGAATGGGGAGACACTGTCTGTTGTGAATGACAAACACTGTCTGTTGTGACTGTATGTGAGTGACAAACACTGTTTATAGTTTAAGGCAGGCCTACAAATAAGGCCTGTCACAACTGATTTTTTTTTCAGACAACAGACTCTTTAAATGAAATGTTAGGACACTACAATGTGTTACTTATTTCAAAGGGGTGTTATGGGTCTTCTTCGTCTACCTGGAGAGCACCAACCTCTGCTTGTTCACATTCTCTTATGTTTGCAAGTCTTCCCAACAAGCTAAAAAATGTTATTTATTTTCCTAGTCAGTAGAATAAGCCTCAGGAAGTGGCAGCAGCCTGCCTGGTCACACGGCTGCGGGGGCCCCCCGAGAGTGCTTCCTTTTGTTTTTTCCTGACTCATGAAATACCTTGGACAGGCAGAAAGTTAGAAGGATAGTGTTATGAGTATGTGTATGCTCCTCATACACTCTCACCTACATTGTAGGAGAAAATGTTGCTAGGCAAACCAAAAGTAGATTTTGGTAGTTTTTAGTCAAAAAACTATAAAAAACTTCTGCTCTTTTTAAGTCCAGTGTCCCAATCTATGGCCACGTTTGTGTTGCCTGAATGTGTGTGTCTGCACTTGGGTGATGTGGGTGCAACCACGACGTGCTGCTCGTCCCGCTCTGGCACCGCATCTGTGGTTCTGCTGGGGGAGCCTGGCCCCAGGTGCTCCTGCCCTGGATGTGCGTGAGTAGGTCTCAGGAGCGGCCTGCCGGGAGGTGGCAGACACAGTGAGGGCATGACTCACATTTTGTTGTGAATTCCAGCTCCCACTAAATAAATCAAACCATTTAACCTCTCTCCAGTCCTGTTTCTTTTTTAAAATTAGAAATAATTTATAGGATTGTGACAAGGTGTCAATGAAAAATTGTATATAAAACATTTTGCTCCATCCCTAGCCCTAGGATGACAGTGGTTATTATTGTCCATAGGAACATAAACATACATAAAGTGATATGATTGTTTAGTAGGTATTAGGGACATACTGGTGAATCCTGTGTATCTTGTACTAGGTACTGAAGTGAATTTCCAGACGTAAGTACTTAATTACAAAGTGAAAGGAGTATAGGGTGGTGTTCGATCTCTTAGAATGTAGGTGTCAATTACTTGACGTCTTGGATATGCTTAGAATTTTGGCTAATAAGTCAACAGTGTAACTCAATCTCTTTCTATTCCATTAAAATCCTTCAAATTATATTATTTGTAAATTGAAGGAATCTTACTGTGAGAATCCCATAGTTGGCAGGAGTGTCATATGAAAAAAATATTTCCCAGATACGAAGGTTAATGGATTTTTAGCAATTGTGTCACATGTACATGTTAATAAGTTTAAGAGGCAGGATCTATGAAATGATTATTTTACAGTGAAGAAACATTACACATAGGAATGGCAGATTCTTTTTTTTCCTAATAAATACCTTAAAGAGATGCTACATCTTCGCTAGAATCAAAGGAACTTGACCACATTAAGATTGGAACACAGAGTAATCTATATTCAGATTAATGATCATGAGCTTTTAAATAATAATACAAAAAATAATTATTAAATGCTATCCTATTTGAATTTAGAGGAAGAAAAAGTTGAAGTCAGTTAAATGTTTTTTTCAGAATAAGAAACATTAAATTCTAAATCATTCCTCGAGTTAAAGAATAGATTTTTAAAAATACTGATGTACAGTTTTTTAAAATTATATATTTCTTGGTGGAAATAGGTTTTAGGTAGCAAAATTCCATCAGACCCGTAAAAATGAGGTGTCACTATATAAACAGACTTTAAGAGACTTTTTAGAATTAAAGACAACAATGATGAAGTTTCCACTCTAAGTCTGTGCTTAAGATGGAAATGTAATCGGGAGAGGCTCGAATGTACACGGCGCAGCCTGCGGGTGCCCCGAGCCATTCCAGGGCAGGACCTGCGCTTACCTGGGAATGGCGGGGGCCTGCAGGACACCTGCAGGGTGTCCTGGAGGGCAGTCCTTCTTCGCGTCCGAATCCCAACATGTTCTTTATTTTTACCTAACAATTTATAGTTTGACCAGGTAGAGAGTTCTATGTCCAAAATAATTTTTTTCCCAAGGATTTTCAAAACACTGTATTTTCTGTCATCGAGGGTTTCTGAACTTGAATGTTGTGTTTCCCTATCTTTTGGTTTCCCCCCTCGGCTGGTACACCCTAAACATGTTTTCCCCCTTCCCGAGTTCAGCTTTTCTGGGTCCATCTGGGAGGCACTGCCTCCCCCACAAAAGGCACGCGGAAGGGCGGCCTCCGGGAGGGCCCGTCAGCGGCGCTGTCGGTTCGTGGCCATGTGGCCACGGATGCTCCACCTGCCGCCGGGGGTGCAGGAGCAGCAATGGACGCCAAAATTCGAGTTGTGTGTTATGTTCGTGCGTCACAACATACTCTCGGTGGTTTTCAGCCGTTCTTAAGCACTGCGGACCGTGCAAGGACAGGAACGGACAGATTCTGCCTGCAGGTTGCTGAGAGTTCATGGCCCGTTGGTTCAGGTCCTGAGTAAATGGATCTGAGTCTTTCATGGGGATCAATAAAGACGAAGTCCGATAAAGAGCATGACGTCCTGGCACCCTCCATGCACCCTGACCGTTCTCTCATACTTTTTGCTCTGCTACTCATTTCCACACCTGAATAGTGTGCAGACTCTTCTTAAGGTGAATTGAAGCCTTGTGAATGTCTAGATGGAGTGACTCCTCCCGTAGGAAACAGTGCCGTTGTTTAGAGTGATCATTTGGTGGCAGTGTGACTGCTTGGCCACAGGTGTGGGCCTTTGTATGAGACTCGGCCGTAAGGTGGTTGTCCAGAATACACTCCAGGAGAGTGATACCGAGTAATTCTTGGGAAGCAAATCCATAAGGCCTGTGAGTTACGAAGACAGGCTCTCAGCTTCCTGAAGCTCTCTTCAATTTTGTTTTATTTTTATCTTGTTGGTTTTTTCCTCAAATGACCTGTCGTCTTCCCTTTTCCAGTCTCACTTTTGAGAAGAGGATCGTGTTGACCAGTAGTTGGCCCAGGTTTTCCTCTAGCCGTGTAGAGTTGCGTCCTCAGTAGGCTTCCTTGTACGGAAGTGTGTAAAGTTATGCACCAATGGACAGGGCCTGTCAGCAGATAGGATTCCCTTAGGTTCTGTGGGTGAGGAACAGGCAGGCTGGTGGCTCCATAGTTGTTACCGGAGGAGCCTGCCCTCCTGGCGGGCAGTCTGTCCTTTGTGGATGTTTTGGAGCTACTGCTGGCTCTCTGTGCTCCTCCATCCGCCAGTGTCTCTCGGAGGACTCTTGCCTGGCTGGTTATTTACCCTGGGAGCACACACTGATGTGTGAGCCACCGCGATGTCCTGGGGCTGTGGGTTCTGACCCTGGCTGCCGGCTGGTCTGGGCTCTCGGCGGGGCAGAGCGTTATTCAGGCCGCCACGCTTTGCTCTTGTCCCCACGAGGCTGTTCCTTTGCCGCTGTTCCCGGTAGCAGTCACGCAGGCTCCATTCCCAGCATTGTTGTCTCCGCTTGTCTTATTTGTCCTTTTGGTCAGATTGGGCAGGAAAGGAAGTTAAGTGCTCATTCACCCTAACCTGAATCTTTTTCTCACTCTAACTATGGAGTAAGGATTCTTTTTGTTTTAGACTTTTATGACAGCAGGTCTTACGCGTTTGGTAGAGGGCCTAAGGCAGTGACCCGCTGCGTGCTGGTGATGCTGACCCAGGCCTGCAGCCTCGTCCCTCACAGCGGCTCAGCTCCACCTGCTTCAGTAGGCATGGCTAGACATTGGGACTCTCCAGCATGATCAGCCCCTATTACAGAAAACAAAGGTGCCTAATGGTTCCTTCACGTCCTCAAATGTCCAGTCATCGTTTTCCAGGGACATTTCAGTGACCTGTTTCCATGTGATTGGCCGATGTGCTGTTTACGTCCCTGTCAGGCAACCCTCGCCCCCACCTTTTCTGCTTGCTATTTTTGTTGAAGAAGCCAAATTATTCTTTTGTTGACCTCAGACTGCGTCTTACGGAACCTGTCCCTGCTGCCATTGACACCCTCCTCTGCCCTGGGCGGTTCCTGTACAGTGATGAGTCCTGCTTTTGTGGGGCTTTGTTGTCTTGGAGTCCCTCACGCTGCCGTGTACTTCCATTGGGGGGCAAAACGCCATGCATCTTTTTTTATTGTTGGGAAAGCTGATGACTGTTACCTGGATTAATCCATTAGAAGCAGAATTACCTTATTCTGGGCTTAGTGCATTACAACATTTTGGAAGTTCAAGAGAGTGGCTCACACAGGGCGTTTGAGGGGACCAGCTGCGGTCTGCCTGTCCTACCAGTTGCCAGCTGTGTCTGCAGCCCTTCTGTTGGCAAAGGCCACAGGGGGCACTGACAGTGAGATGCGTGAGTCTGTGTATAGCCAGTGTTTCTATACCGTGAGAAGCTTGCTACACACGGTGCTAATGTGTAAAGCAAGTGTCGGCATAAAGGGAACTAGTGTAAGATTTTTAAGGCTTTTTCCCCCTCCTACTTATAGAGCCTTTTAGAAGATCCTTATCCGATGGTCCGTTCCACAGGGATCCTTGGTGTCTGTAAAATAACTTCCAAATACTGGGAAATGATGCCTCCTACCATTCTTATTGATCTCCTGAAGAAGGTAACTGGGGAACTGGCACTGGACACGAGCTCGGCTGATGTGCGCTGCTCTGTTTTTAAGGTAAGATTTAAATTATATTAACAACACTTAGTTATTGTAGAATAGTCAGAAATACAGAGAAAGAAAAATTTTTAAATCACCTATAATCCTGCTCCATAGATATAGCACTATTGACATTTCTGTTGTATATCCAAAGTAGTATTTTTACAAACCCAAAGTGTTTTCTACAAAAATTGTCTACTTGAAATAATACTGGTTTTTAGTGTGTGTGTGGGTGGGGGGAGAGGGCACACATTTTAGAATAGGAGCTATATGTATTAAATTTTTAAATAAATTATCATACATTAAAATAGACTTTTTGGTACACTGCTTTGCATGGGAAGTGCTATGGATGAGAAAAGCGCCCTTTCTCCTTGCCTTGTTCCTACATTGGTCCTGCGACCAAGACGCAGTCTGAGGTCGACAAAAGAGTGATTTGGCTTCTTCAACAAAAATAGCAACAAGGCAAGGAGAAAGGGCGCTTTTCTCATCCAGTCTGTTCTCCCGGTAGTCCCATCGCTGTTCCCACAAGATTCCTCTGAAGCAAATCCAGGGCGCTCAATCTATCAGCTCATCTGAAAATAGTTCAATATGATCTTTAAAATGTAAGGTCTCTTTCAAAAAAATGTATTTTTCCTAATAACTGAAAAGAGAAGATCATACACATGTAAGGTCTTTGGACAAGTTGGTGCCTGGTGTGAGCTTGGGCATCACCTAGCCCCCACCCGAGCCGTGTATGGGTCTCCTGTGGGTGCCTGTCTGATTAGACATGCAGGCTCTGTACTCTCTGGTTTTCACATAACATTGAGTCAGGAACAGAGAATTTATGGGCCGTTAAATACATGCATAAAAGGATTTTTAGACCCAGCTTTGGATACAAACTGGCTTTGGAGCCCCCTCCACCAGCAATCGTTCTGTTTTTTTCACTCTAAAAATACTTTAAAATTTAGCTGAGAGAAAGCATTGAAGAGTTATTTTATAACTACTATAATCTTGTTTAAGTAAAGCGACAGGTAAACTGATTATCAGTCATTGAAACTCTGCTTCATTTAAAGTATGCTTTTTATATATGAAATTGTTTTATAAAATGAGGATGTTTATTTCATTAGTAGTTCCAGGAAGGATGGAACTGCGTGTTTTCTTACCTGAACTTTCCTTCCTTTGAGCCTGTCCTAATTTTGAGCTTTTTGTCCTTCTCTTTTCTTTGTAGTGTCTGCCTATAATTTTAGATAACAAACTAAGCCACCCACTATTAGAGCAGCTTTTGCCGGCCCTGAAATACAGTCTCCATGACAATTCGGAGAAAGTGAGAGTGGCTTTTGTGGATATGCTGTTGAAAATCAAAGCCGTGCGTGCTGCTAAGGTGAGACGAGAGGATTTCCTTGTTTAAGGCACGGGATAAGTAAGTGTATGTTTCTATCAACAGAAAGACAAGGCAGCTTTACTGTAAACAAGAGTTTTTCTGATCACATTTTAAAGTAATTGATGTCTGGTATATTCTACCACTTGTTTGTGTCTTAAAATTTTGTTTGTTTAGTGATTTGCATTGAAGTTTCCAGAAATATCATTAATGTGTATTTTCTTTTTGAAAGACTTTAATGTAAGCAGCTCCACTTTAAATTATATTTTTGTCTTGTGCATGAAAGTTCTTGTTGAAATATTTAAATATTTGCTGCATAATAATCACTTAAATATTACTTTGAAAAATGTTGACCACGAGCCCCTTACTCCTTTGCCACATTTTACAGAAAGAAGCAAGGAGGTATTTGCTGTATTGTCATACACATTTTGGCATGGTACAAGTGAGTTCACCTGTAGCGATAGTTCTGTTCAGCTTTTGGCTGAAATTGTTGGTTATAAGGTTATTAACTTCATTATTATTTGGTAACACTGTGAGTTTTCTTCCTTCACACAAAAATTCTCTGAAATATAATTTAAAATGCTGTTTTGTTATGGCACAGGATTTGGCAACAGCCTGACATGTTCATCAGTATAGGTCAACCAGACTGACCTGTGGTGCATTCATGCACTGATATACCTTAGGATGCGCTTGCCTGGAAGCACTGCTAGGATGGAAGAGTAAGAGCAGCCGTAGGCCTGTGTGTCGTGTGTGGCCGGCCGTGTAAAATGGGGAATTATGCACATGTGTTTGTTCCGATACATGTGAAATATCACAGGAGAAAAAAATAACATTTGCATGGAGGGAGGGGAATTGGGTAACTGCAGGCAGTGCTGGGGGGACCTTATTACTGCATAGCATGTGTGTTCTATGCTTTTCAAATTTGGAACTATGAATTCTTTTTTTACTCCTAGAACAAAACCAAACAAAAAACCCAAAGAATATTTTGTGTGACCTGTACAGTGTAGGTGCCCCACATCATACCCAGTCACACCAACTTGGTACTTGTTGAAGATTATGACTGTGTGATCCGTCCTGGACTCTATTCTGTGTCCATCCCTGGGCGGCACGCTGGACCATGGCTGCTCTCCAGGAGTCTGGGAGTGAGTTCTCCAGCTGTGTTCTTCCTCCTGAATTCTTGGGCTGTTTTAGGTCCTTTGCATTTCCATATAGATTTTAGAATCAGCATGTCAGTTGCAACAGAAAAGCTGGCTTCAGTTTTGATTGCATTTATTCTAACAGCCTATTAAAACTACAGTTCTGAATCTCAAAGGGAAATTTTCAGCTTAGTGTTGTGTTTAAAGTGTAAATCTGTTTGCAAAGGGTTATTGAGGTGATGGCTGGCAAGGGAATAGAGAAAGTTGTTTTCAGTTTAGTAATGGGTCTGCTCCAGAGCACAGGGGAGAGGCCAAGGAAGACAGGAACAGGGGGCCTGTGACGGAAAGTCTGGATCTTAGGGGCAAGGCAAGAGCAGGAAAGGGTGTGTGAATGTCACAGTGAGCAGCTGCTTTCATCTTAGTACAAGCGAATAAGCTGGCTGGGAGGCCCCTGGAAAGGTTTGTTAGGCAATACGCACTCCTCCTTGCAAGTCAAGGCCTAAGATTGGTGATCATGTGGACAGGCAGCTTGTGGGAAGTAGGGGCGCTGCTCATCCCCAGGGGCATCAAGAGCAGTGTGTCACCTTGCATTTTCATGGACACGTCTGCACAGCTGTGCGCTCCTGCATGTGGCTGTACATGGAATGAGAGCCTCCCTTTCTTTTCACTTCCTTTGTAAGCCTGGGTGGGCTGAGCTCAGAGGGGCCTGGAGCCAAGTCTTCTCAAAGGCCCTGAGCAGAATGACTGATGCATGGCATACAGTAAAAGCTAGTTCTATGGAATTAGTTCATATGGCCAAGGAGTGGTTATCAACTTAGTTAATTAGGCTTCTGTTTATGTTTTTCATTGCCATGTCTAGTAATTTCAAGTCGTTTACTGTGTTTTGAACCTCTACATTTCTGCCATTGTATATCTGAGATTTAAGCTGAACCAACAGTTACTAATATTAAAACTTCTTTATGAAAAAAAAAACAAAACCTTTGGGTTCTTACTATGCAGTTATTCCTAACATTAGAAGTGAAACACCAGTTACTAGTTTATGTTCTTGTCCTTATAGATTCTACACTGTGGGTAATAGGTTTGGGTAAAATAAAACCTCAGGCAATTGAAACAAAGCAAACCAGAATCCTGAACTAATCAGAATTGTTTCTGCATTTTATGTTAGAAAAGTGAATTGCAGAATAAGCTAATTTGGGGAGTCCTTGAAAGGCAGACTTGCAGGGGATGCTGGTAGTAAGAACAGTCGCCGGAACCTTGGCATTTGGTTCCCTTTCAAGATGATCTGACCTCCACAAGGGCCCAAGAGCCATCTTTTTTAATGTGAAAAGGAATAGACCGTGAAACACCTCTCAGGTACTGCTTGGATCAGGGGGTTTCTCAGGCGTGTTCCTCTCAGCCAGGCTGGGCCTGAGGTCTTGACCCTAAAGAGCCCCACCCCTGGTCACTTGAATTCTCAGGTGGAGGGCTCTCCTGTGCTTGCCATCCCTCTGGGGATCTGGCAGTGGCTGGGCTTTGCACATTCTGGGTCCCCCCCCAATCAGCTAATGGCCTCGTTGTGTTGTCCCCACCAGCTGCTGCTGGTTCTGACCTGGTCCTGAGCAGCTTCTGAAGGGTTGGCCCTGCCCTCTTAGGTGCCTGTCCCCGTCTGCATCAGCACCTGGCCTGCATGTCTTCCCGCTGCCGTCCGTGATGCGACAAACAGGAAATCTGCTTAGTCTACTTTTGGGTGGTTGTGAACAGTGGTGTACAGTCAAGCAGCATGCCTGAGTGCTGCTGGCACCATGTCACCTACAGATGTGCTGGCGCAGTTGGCGCCACACCTGGGGGCACTCACACTCAAAACCAGCACCCTCCTGGACTGACCAAGGGCCTCGGGGCAGGAAGGGGGCAGGCGAGAGATGTGGTCAGAGCGTCTGTCTGTCTCCCCTCGCTCTGGAACGAGCCTCCATCTCCCGCTTCTAAGCCTACTGCAGCCTGCCTTGCAGTGGGTGGCAGTGGGGTCTCTTGGAGAAGCCACGGGCCCGGGCAGCTGCGGCAGGGCTGAGCCTGCCCTGTCTGCTCTCCCGTGACTTGCTGCTGGAGGCCTGGGGACTTTGCCTTCCTGATACTAGTATGAGCAGAAGTGTTTGCTGAAGGGTGCGGGTTCATCACTGTCTTTACTCCAGTAGATTTTTCAGGAGGTATCTGAGAAGTGTGCCAGGAGCGTTTGTGGGGAAGGAATCAGTGTGTCAGACGCAGAGATGCCTCCTTGAGGGTGTGACTGCGCCCACCTGGCTTTGCAGTAAGCATTGTCATGACCTTGGCTAGGACAGTTTGGTGAGGGTGGAGTGGGGTTTCTGAGCACGGAGGTGAGTGTGGGAAGGAGGAGGTGGAGGATGGGGGCTGGGAGGAAACGGGGAGGCCCAGCCGTGGGGGGGGGGACCCTGCTGTAAGGGTTGGAACAACATGAAGATAGATGCCTGTGAGAAAGACCAACTGAAAATACTGGGAGAGGGAGCCGTCACCAGAGCCAGGCTCCTGGGGACAGATGGGGACACTTCTGAGTAGGATTTGCACAGGATTACCAGGCAATAAGCAGTGGACACAGGATTTGAACATTTCTCCATTTAAATTATTTTCTTTGTATCATTCTGTGGTATTTTTCTTTGTCCTGAATCTCTTGCTTAGAAATTTGGCACTTTTCTATAGGCAGTGGGCATCTCCGCTGCTCCTGAGCAGAGGGCAGTAAAGCAGTTCTGACAGTGAGGTGGGCCACAGGGGCCCATCGTGATCCTCCAGGCACTGGAGGGAGGGGGCAGTGGGGGCACTGGGGTGCAACCCACCCTCTGCAGTGGGCTGGGCAGCTGCAGGAGTGAGGTTTCTGTCTCACTCTGGGTTAGCAAATGGGGTGTCCAATTTAGCTTTCCATATCAGAACCGTTGTAAACTTTTATCTTCACTTTATGTACTAATGTAGTTACCATATGAGTTTACTGTACGTCATGTGGAGTACTAGTTAATTGTAATTAACCTTCTAGCCACCTTCTACTTAGAACCTTGTATGCCAGTGCTTCTTAAAATTTGGAGTGATTGATTCTGATTTCTCTACAAGAAGACTCACAGATTCTGTATAGTCATTTGAAGTCATTTATATTTTTTTAAATGTACAAATTAGTTTCTTTTTTATTATGCTCTTGGAATTTTGATTAGAATGTTCTCGAGAGTCCAAGAACAACTGGTTATTTCTTCCTGCATATATGCTTTATACATAGTTTTGGAAAATATGCCCCATGGAACACATTTTGGTCCGTCTGCAATCGGATTCCCGGCCTGTGTCGCGGCGCCTGGTCAGCCTCATCTTTAACTCGTTCCTGCCCGTGAACCAGCCCGAGGAGGTGTGGTGTGAGCGCTGTGTCACGTTGGTCCGGATGAACCACGCGGCCGCCAGGAAGTTCTACCAGCACGCGCACGAGCACACCGCCTGCACGAACATAGGTACAGGGCTCGGGGCTGCTCTCCGGAAAGGGCTGTGTTGTTTCTGGGTAATCCTCATGCCGGAACGCAGTTCTTAATGGCTTCCGTTAAAATACCACTTCTAATTATGTGGGATTATAGTGTTACTATGGGAAAGGTAATTTCGTTGAAGAAACATCAATTATTGGTTATCTTAAACATTGTAGCAAAGCTGATTCATGTGATTCGCCATTGCTTAAATGCCTGCACCCGGAGGGCCGTGCGAGAGTCGCGGGAGGACGGCGCCGAGCAGGAGAAGGAGAACGTGAGCGTAAGTGGGCCTCGTGGGAGCCTGCAGGGCGCTGGGCCCGCCGCCCGGTGGGGCCCCGGCAGGGCGCTTCCACTGCCTTAAATGGCAGGGTGTCAAATCAGAGGTACCGTTTCCAGGCAGTGGTATGTTAGCAACTGTTTTGTTTTCCATTTATTTTCTTAGTATTGATATTTCAACTGATCGTTTTTGGGGGGTCCCAAATAATGCATTTGGAAGAATGGCTGTATATCCTCTGTAGCTCATCGTGGAGTTGGGGTAGGATTTAATGTGGAGGAAGGCTCACTGGTACTGTACCCAGTTTTTTTCGCCGTGTGCTTCTCTGAATCAATTTGACCTGGATGTAGCTGGGCTGGATTCTGGAGGGCCGCAGCGCCGCCAGAACTGTGGTGGAGAGCGCCAGAGGATTGACTCATCACCACACCATGGATTCTACGCCTTGGGATCTCCTTTCTGGGAAGGGTCTCTGTTTAGAAGGTCTATTAAAATATCAGAGGGATTGTGTAGTTGCTCTTTCTTCAGAAGCCAAAATGACCAACTATATAATAAGAAAACTTTAGACTTAGACACTTACTACTCAAAAACAGCATTGTAAGCTTATAAACAAAGTCCTAGCTTATGTACATCTAAAGTAAAATGTGGGGTGTTTTTATAGTACCCAGGTAGATTAGGAACCTGGGCTTTGATCGTCACCAAAGATGTTTGTCTACCCTCTTGCGGAAGTGTGGCGCCCGCGTGCCACCCACAGGGCGCTGCCACGCCTCACTCACCTCCCCGTGTCCAGCTCCCCTGATGGAGGTTGTCTCCCAGGGCAGACAGACATGCGAGCTCAGGGCTATGATGCAGCTTTGTGTGCTTGCTGGTGTTGGGCCCGCTGCCTGTGTATGAGGGAAGCACTGGTCACAGCCGGCCGTGCACGCTCTTGTCACGCTCCCGGGTGCCGTGGGCTCGTGCCCAGTGGGGCCCACTACGCCGCCAGCCTGCCCGCTTATACGTTTCCTTTTCTCGCTGGCTCAGTGAGGGAGACAGGTATGGGATAAAGGGAGAAGCAGGCACAGAGAGAGGGCACGTGGGCTCTGTCTGGACTGCTGGTTGACCTCTGGTGTCGGCTCACAGGCCTTCCTGGCCCTTAGCGTTTGGAGTTGGTTCTGCTTGTACTTTTGGTGGAGTTCGAGTTCCTCTGTTCAGTGTTTCCTTCAGCATCTGGGTTGGGTGGCAAATTTTTTAGGAAGGTGGACCCCTGCTACTGATCCGTCTTCAGAAACCTGGGCTGGAGATGCCAGCATAGTGTCCTTCCTGGTGGGAGGCAGGGTGTGCAGAATGGATGCAGAGCGGGCAGGGACTGAGTGTGAGCACAGCAACTCCCTGGGCCACCCTTGCAGGCTCACTCTGATGGGGAAATTTGTTTTGCAAAAGAGCAAAACATACTTGATAATGTAATAGTTGAGAGACTATTAATTTTTTAAATATTGAAGGGACCCTCCACTTGCATTATTAAAACCCTAGGTATTATTGAGAAAGCTTGCATGTTGTAACATTTTAGGTCAGTTTCTGTACCAGTAGAACACACAAGGTTTACGCAGAGAGCTCCATTTAGCCTGTTAGAAAAGAGGTACAGACTGTCCTGTGTAGCTGTATATTCTCAGTCTAAAGATAGCTCTGTGGCTAAAAGCAAAGCTTTTCAAAGTAGTTCTTTTAACTTTTCTCATGCTATTGACTTAAAGTCAAAGATGTCCTCTGCTAGAATGAACAGCTTCCTCTTTAATGAAATCTTAGGAATGCAGCGCATTTTTGCAAAGAAGTGACTTTCTCTGGAGCCTTTGATAAGCAGGCTGCTGTGCTCACAATGGATGGTAAACAGCAGAAATAAATGCAGTGGGTGGCAGCCTGCTGTTGGTGTCCTTCCTGGCCTAGTTTGTAGGTGGCTTCCCTGCTTGTGACGTTGCCTGGCCATTGCTCATTTGAGAATTAAGTGCCTGTTGAAGAATCTAACTTCTCTCCGTACACTCATTAATTGAGTTTATTTTCTTCCCAGTATCTTTTTCTATTACATTGAGTAGATAGCCCAATAAAATGCCAACACCTGTAATAAATCATCCTTTCTGTGTCAAGGTAGCCCCCTCTCAGGAAATTGCCTGGAATTGTTATTTGCAAGTTGTCAGGCTGTCCTTGTAGTCACACAACAGGGTTGCTAGCGTGTGCTGAGCTGGTTGGGTGTGTAAAGCACAGTGTACATACAGCATGGCTTGCAGTGATGGCAGTGCAGGCCTCCCGCTCATACAGAAGAGGGGTTCATTACAGTGCAGGTGCGGCTTTCCCCGAGCACTCCCAGCATAGCAGTGGTTATTGCTCACTACAAGTCTAAGCCCAGAAAATGTAGATGGGTATGTCACTGAACAAGCCATGGAAGCCGCTGGTGAGTGGGAGTTCACCATCAGTAATTACACTCTAGTCTTGGGGGATTCATACCTACCGGGCTTTGTAGAGGGGGTGGCTGGTCAGAGCTGCATCCTGGTGTGATGTGGTGGTTGGTTTACACCTGAGTTCCATAGTAATCACATTTAAATAAATTAATTTTAAAATATTTTCCCTCCTCCCCCAGTATGTTCACTATGAGGTTTATGGTAAGAAGTGATATCTTTTAACAAGTCGGAAGATAGAGTAAAAGAAAAAACATGCATTTTACTAGTGTGTTTAGGACAACAGTTCATACATTTTGGCTTCAGTTCAGATAAGCTGTTTATTGAAAGGATATAGGGTTAATTTAGAATTTATTTCTTGGGTGGGCTTCTATTAAAAATAGCTTTACTTCCAGCAGAGATTCTCAAGTAGACAATAAAGTCATTGTATGACATGAAATAGACATGATACCCTTTATGTTTCTGCTTCAGGTCTACAATTCTGGGATGTGCTCTTAAACGTAGTGCTGTTATCTCAGTAGTTGTTAGGATTTGATTCTTGAACAATAAAATGATTTGTGTCCTAGGTTCTGGACAAAACATTGTCAGTAAGTGACATTGCGTCCATGGCAGGTCTACTAGAAATTGTTGTGATTCTTTGGAAAAGTATTCACCGAAGTATGGAAAATAACAAGGAGGCCAGAGTCTACACCATTAACAAGTTTGCCTCTGTGCTCCCTGAGTACCTGAAAGTATTCAAGGTAAGCTTGGCCACACTGGTAAGCAGGCACCTGAAGGTACATTTGTGCAGCATTCACTGCTCATCTGTCTCCCGCCTGGCACTGCCCTGTGCAGTAAGAGGTGGAGCCAGTACCCGGAGGGGCTGGTGGAGGCCCCCAGTTTTCCCATCTGCTGTGGCCTGTACACCATTTCAGAGTCTAGTTTGACTTGCTGGGTATGGGGAATGCATTTGTGAATGTCAGGGTGCAGTGGCAGCCGCACTGTGTGGGCGTTTGAGGCTGTGGTGGCACACCTTAAGCCATTGTGTTTCTGGCAGGCTCGGGTGGTGGTGTATCATCGGGCGCACAGACCATGTGTGACTTCTGTTTGGGTGAAGGGAAGGGCCTTATTCTATTCCTTGGTTTTCTACTTCTGAAGGAAGTGCCTACCTATTTCAAAAACAAAAATAAGACAGCTAAAAATGCAAGTTCATTCCCAATTGTAAAGAAAGCGTGGTTTTAACAGAGGAGGGTCACAGGGCTTACGAGCCACCCTTCTCTTGATAGACTTTACTCTGGGCTCTTTCACAGTGCCTGTGTGGCCTCTGCCTCTCAGCTTTTTTGAGCGTGTTTCTGTGAAGGTCAAGTCTCCCTGCTTCATTCTATCTCTGAAATGCTATGACCTGTCCGTAAAAGTATAATCTAGCTTGTCGAAGTTACTAGTACATTTCAAAACTCAAATAACTACACTGTTATCTCAAAACCTGCACAGATAAACATAGAAACCCACAAGGTCCCGGCTGAGATGACTCATGAGGGTGGGTCTGGGGTTGTCTAGGAGCCGGGGAAGGCCGCTGATTATTAGGTCAGTTAATTCCGAATGATTCTGGAAGGAGAGCTCAGAGAACACCGTGCTCATCACGCAGGTAAAAGAACAGTCTATAACCCACACACAATGGGCAGTAATTATTGGTCTGCTTATTTAGCATTAGGAAAATATTTTCTTTCCTTTTTGGGAGTTGGGGTAAGGATGGGTTCATTCCAACTGCAGATTAATTACAGATAAATTTTGATGTTGCCCTTGTTTCTGTGCCATGTATGTTTTCAGAATTGTTATTTCCTTTTCTTTTAGGACCCATCATCCCTCATTGTCACACCCAATCAAGGATATCTCTTATTAAGAGTTCTTGATCTAGTCTGGCCTGCTTTTTGCTTTCCAGTGTAGTCATAATGCTGTAGCTACAGTGTATTAAATGCTGCCATGTGGCAGGACCTGTAGTGGGTCTGGTGTCATCTGGCTCACTTAGTGCTTCCAACAACATGTTCCCGTTTTGCAGAGGAGGAGACGGCCTCTGAGGCTCCAGCCTCTGCCCTGTGTCACTCCAGCTAGTTAGGTGGTCTCAGATGTGGCCAGGCTGCTCCAGTATGTGCACAAAGCTACGCTGTCCTCCTAAAGATATTCTGAATATTTTATTTAAACATTTCTCTCTGAATGGTTTCATTCTCTGGAGATTTGCATCCAGGATACCAAGTATGTAGAGTCAGTTTTTTCCTTCCGTCAGGACTATTTTGAGAATAGAAGTCAGTACTTTGATGGAGTTTTGTCTGTTTTGAGTGCCGATACCGCCCCAGGATCCAGGTTGGTGCATGATACACAGTAGGTACCTGATAAACAGCTGCCCATATTAAGTACCACACAAAGTAGTAAGATGTCATAAAACTTTGAGACTGTTTCAACAGGAGGCTTTCCAGCAGGTTTAAGTTTTCTCACTGAACACCGAATGATGACTCACTCTAGGTCCACCTGATTAACTTTTAAGATGGTTATCAGTGGGGTATATGGGGAGGCTCCCAAACTGCCATAGTGTTACCTTTTGTTTCCCTTTTATGCCTATAGGACGATCGCTGCAAGACCCCTTTGTTTATGCTGATGTCCTTTATGCCAGCCTCTGCTGTGCCTGCGTTCAGGTGCTCTCTGCTTTCCAGGATGGGGGTGAAGAGGGGGTCCTGCCAGCCTGGTGCTTAGTTATTAATCCCTTGTTCAACAGACTTCACACCTTAGCTCTGAGTTCACGGTGGCTTCTTCCTTCTGCCTCCCTTTCCTAGTGGCGATGAGTCTCCAGGGCTCTGGTGTGGCTGGGGAATGCAGGGAGGGCTGTGTGGACCTAACGCTGTCGTTCAGCTTTAAGGTCTGGGGGCCATTTTTGAAGCCCGGGTGATGGGACCCCAGAGCCCCAAACCCTTAGCCACATGTGACTCTGAGCACATGTAACGTGGCCTCTCCTGAAATGTGCCATGAGTGTAGAATTCCCAAGGATGTGGAGACTGGTGTGAAAAGATTAAAGTAGAAGTTCTCACCATTTTCTCTATTGATCACACCTACCTTAAAACAACACTGTGGACAGAGTGGGTTAAATAAGATATATTGTTGAAATTAATTTTAACTGTTTCTCTTCATTTTTAAAAATGTGGCTGCTAGAAAACTTAAAATGATATCAGCGGCCCGATTTTGTCACTTGCATTGTATTTTTTATTGGATAGTATTCCACTAAAGTGTTGGCTATTATCTCAGTAAAAATGACTTATTTTTATTCATATTTTTGAAAAAATGAGTGTTGTGAGGCTAAACAAAAAGAAAATTAGGAATCTTTGCTCTAGTGTCTGAAAGATTACACAGAAGTGAGAGGCTGCGGTTTTTATGTGACTGGCATTACCCTGATAACATAATCCTCAGGCCTGGGCGCCTTGACTTGAGTGCTGGAACCTGTCCCGGGTAATAGTTGTGGGAGGGCAGTGAGTTAATTGCTGCAGTGGAGGACGCCCAAGAACCCCTGTAGCAGGAGGGACTTATGTACCCCCTTTGTAGCTGCTGCATTACCCCACCTTTTAGCAAAGTGGGAGATTATTATTGAAAAATTAAATCTGATGTATTTGACATTTTCAGCTGCAGTGTGATGTCCAGGTTAAGGAACCAAAAGGAGGGAGTTGCAGACAAGAGTTACTGCACTTTGTTGGACTGTCTCTGCTCCTGGGGGCAGCTGGGTCTCGTCCTGGAGCTCATCTGTGACTGGCTGCCAGGGCAGCCCCAGAGCAAGGTGCGCTCCCGTTCCTAAAGCAGGCTGAGTGCGGACAGGTGTGTATGGGAAATGCGTGCTCTCCTGGGGATGCGTGGTCTGATTAGCAGTTTATTGCTCCTTCTCAGAGTAACTCGGGATCTAAGCGGAAGGTGCAAGTCCGTGATACACGCCCAGTAAAACCTGAGCTGGCGCTGCTCTACACAGAGTATTTGCTGACCCACGTGCAGAACCGAGAGTGCCTGCTCTCTGCTCCCCAGAAGACACTCAACCATCTTTTGAAGGCACTGGAAACGTCAAAGGTAAGTTTACAGAGGGGCTGTGGGCCACAGCAGGAGCGGTTCTAGGACTTGTGGGCAAGGGGAGGCCAGATCTAAGTTTTGTATTCATCATGTGAAGTTTCCGCAGCTGGGACAGAATTGAGCAGTATCTAGCCCCTCTTTCAGTTTCCAGATGAGGACAGAGACGGGACTAAATGGGGCAAGATGGGGACCAGGCTGCCATTTCTGGGCCCTGGTCCTTCCACTATGTGTTGTTCTAAGCACAGTGTGGTGTCCAGTCTGCCCAGGGAGTGAGGACTCCCGAGGGGCCCTGCTTCCCAGATCATACCCACCTATAGGGCTTCTGCCACAAGTTCTGCCCTGTGCCTGCGCATGAATATGGGAACTCTAGCTGTCCTTGGAGTCCTCGGGGAGTGCTTCCTCTTACTTCCCCCCATCTCCTCTCCTCTGGCCATCACTTCCAGGGCCAGCTCCCGGCACAGCCTGCTGCTGCTGAGTTTGGCTATCTGCAGGCAGTGCCTCCAGTGTACTAGCACCGGCTGTCGGAGAGGGAAGGTGGGGGTCTGGAGAAGGAGGAGGTGTGTGGCCGTGGATGAGGAGGTGGACGAGGCCTGAGCGAGCCCAGAGCAAGCCCAGTACCTGCCGCGTGCTCAGTCCCGTCCAGGCACAGGTGGGCAGCACTGGGGTTTTGTCTTGGACTGAGCTGGACACCGGCCGCACTGGTGTGGGATCTAGGAGAAATGCAGCGCATCCTCCACCGCAGGCTTTCCTAGCAGAGGCACATGGATATCACCACCTTTTAAATGCTGGTGGGGCCCTTGCCCCTCCACGGGACAAGCAGACATGGCCCACACCTTTCCAAGTGTGAGGCTGTCCTGTTAGGGTGAGGCTGGGGGGCTGCGGGGGGGCTGGAGCTTCTCACCCTGCCTGAGCCGGGAGGGAATTGTTCCCGGGCAGTTGCCTTTCTTCTTTTCTGTTGGCCTGTCCTCGCAGTGCTGTCTCTGCAGGCCTCACCCCTCACTCAGAAGGTTAGAATTCAGCCCAGGGGCAGAGGCAGGACATGCTTGATCCCAGCGGCTCCTTGGGCAACACTGTTAAAGTCATTTTCCAGTCCCTTAGTGTGCAGACGATGGGAAGATGCTCTAAGTTTCGGAGGATGGCTGTGTGTGTCTCCCAGGGTGGCTGTGTGTCCTGCTGTCTGCATCATACAGCGTGAGGTGGTAATTTGTCACTTGGAACAGATGTATTTATTTTACAGGTGGACCTGGAATCAGTTTTACAGTCGCCAGGTGGGAAGACTCACCACCTGAATGAAGCGACGGCCCTTCGTGCCTTCAGCCTCCACTGCCGCCTGAGCATCCACCTTCAGCACAAGGTGTGTCCCACTGCACCTGCAAGGGTGAAGCTGGTCTGCAAAGATGGTGCCGTCACTGATTAATCTTTCTGTTGTTGTTGGACAGTTCTGCTCAGAAGGAAAAGTGTACCTGTCCATTTTGGAAGACACTGGGTTTTGGTTAGAAAGCAGAGTTTTGTCTTTTATCCGAGATAAAGAAGAGGAACACCTGAAGCCTCAGAGGGTCGTTTATCAGCAAATTATCCAGGTTAGGAGTCTGAGGACAAGGACTTCCCTTTGCTAAGCTTGTGATGCGCTTCAAGGTTTTATTTTCTATTTAAAAGTCCTAACTTTACATAGTGCTCCTCTTCTTAAACACCTATCATGGCATTTAAATATATAGAGTTTATCTTTTTGCAAAGCATAAATTCTACATAATTTTAATGTAATCTCACATATTGCATGTAATAGGCATTTAGTAATCTTTGTTCAGTTACATAAAATATGTGTCTAGGTTTCTTATGGAAAGAAAAGCAAGAATTAATGTGCTTTAATCACTTTGTAAAGCAGCCTCAGGAGGTAGCTAGCACTGGGGGCTGCCCCGCCCCACTGGCCTGGCCCGCCTTCCTCTGTAGCCTTACACCTGCCTCTCTTCCAGACTTACCTGGCTAGTTGCAAAGACGTCATTATGGCTGGCCTTGGTGACTCTAAGTTTCAGATTCAGCTTTTACAGTGGAGTCTTGGAATTATGCAAACAGGTATGCTTCATTCACTAAAGCACTAGCTTCCAGCAGTTCATCAGAACCAGTCCTCTCTCTGCTTCCTTCACTTCCAGTCAGGACCCTTACATGACAGATGGGTAATGCAAAAGGAATTTAAAGGCTGGTGCAGCCAGGAGGTTAAAGGTGTTTCTGGTGCGGGACGTGAGTCAGTCCAGAGTTTCTGCCCTGGGGCCTTGGGCTGCTCTCCGGTTTGCTTGATTGCCAAGCGACTTTGCCGTGAGGGGGCTGGTGCAGTGGTGGCCCTGAGCCTGTCTGCTGCTTCTCTCTGGCATCCATGTTGCGAAGCTCGCAAAAGAGTTCTTGTCTGCGCTGGCCACCCTGTGGGGTGTGAGGGTTGTTTAATGGCTCCCAAGACGAGTGGGACTTCATAGCAGTGAATTCTGGCATGTCTTTACTAATTCGTTTTATTTTACTTAACCAGTATCTACATGTATCTGGTTTTAAGGCACATAGTGCTAGAATATAATGAAATATAACTGAATTTTTAACTTCAGATTTTTGTCAGTAATTAAAGATACCATGCAAGGTGCTTCCCCATGCGCGTGGCTGTGAGGCGCTCACAGGAGGCCCGTTGCTTTCAGGGCCCTTGAGCCTTGAAGACCTGGCCTTCAGAGCTGTGGGCACCTGCCTTCAAGGAGCTCAATGCTCTCAGCCTGACTCCTGTGTGCTGCACATGGGCAGAGTGTGTGTTCCTTTCCCTTCTTTCAGATAAAAGAGATTTGGTTCTTGAAAGTTCCTTCATGTTTGCAAAAGTTTTAGAAACTTAGTTGGTTCTGGTAATGAAGGTGCCATAGACCATTTGATGGGTGAATGGGACTGGGGCATGGCCATTCACTTACCTTAAGTTAGCAGGTAAAGTTGGGCACTGGGGTAATCTATTTTATAAATGGAGGAGCTTGTGTGATTCTTCAGGCCCTTCTCCTTTGTAAGGTCATATGACCCCTGTATAAGGTCAAAGAGGTCATGCCTCTCCATTGCCTGGATGATACTCTTAAAGAGGAATGCTATTTCTGTGTTTTTGCATATGACACACTTCAAGTGTTTATTTGTAGTTTATATAGTATGTGTTTTTAAATGTACATAAGAAGGAATTGCGCTGCATGGTGCCTCCCCAAGAGGAATTGCTGTCTAAATGGGGAGGCTCTCCTGCATGCAGACATACAGGTTAAGCAGTAGGGGCAGTGTGAGGGTCGGAGCTGTAGGAGCGCCTGAGGACGGTGCTTACAGATAAGGTGGGATGGAGGCAGGTGAGCATTGAAGCCCTCCAGGGCGCACGGCAGGGTTGGGCTCACACACAGAGACCTTTGCGGGAAAGGAGGCCTTTTGAAAGAGAACTGATAAACCGAAGTGTGAGAGACTTAACAGGGTTGGTTGAAGGGAGCCATTAGTCCTATTGGAAGGCTCTGTGGCCATCCCTCCCGACTGCTAGCAGAGCCGGTGTTGATGTTACTCTCCCGTGACAAAATAAGACATTCCCTAATCCCCGTGTCAGGGGCCATGCGGTCCGCGCGTGCAGGGGGCACGGTGCTTAGTGGCCGAGTCAGACGCGCCATTACTGTCATTGAAGGTATTGTTTTATATTTTTTTAACCCTAAAAATAAAACTGCCAGCTATTTTTCCAGCAAAAATGAGCTTGTTCAGGAACAGCAGAGAATTAAATTCAGAACCAGGAGCCCCGACAAAACCACAAGCAAATCTGAGACCAAAGGAGAAGAGGCTCTTCTAGAGAAAGGGCTGCCCCGCCATTGGCGGAAGCCAGGGGTCCCGCCTGTGCTGGCTGCTCATTGGCCGAGGTGTGGCGGCCCCTCGTTGGCTGGCCTGTTGCTGAAGGGCTCAGACACCTGCTGGGCAGGACAGTGGGAGCTAGAGTGGCACCCTGGGCGTCAGCTCCCCTGCTGCCCTCCCCATTCCATGCTGGCAAGGCCCCTCTATTCAGTTTCACAATTTAAAAAGAAGCAAGTTTCATGTACATATGTTAAAATTTAGACTAATCTGATACAGCTTGGTATTGGCTTACCAGTAACAGTCTCTTTTAAGTTACAGAATACACATATGTTAAGTGAAAATGTGTAATAATTTCAACTAAACGGTGTAATGAGATAACCGATTTTTCCAACTGTCCTTCTAGTGAAGGGATTCTTTTATGTCTCGTTACTCCTTGGCATTCTGAAAGAGGCAGCGAGAAGCTCCTTGGTGCAGAAAGCAAACTCAGACGAAGATGTCACAGCGCTGTTTGACATGGTCCAGAAAGTGTTTCAGAAAATGCTGGAGTGTATGGCACGGAGCTTCAAGAAGCAGCCAGAAGAAGGCCTGCGGGTACTCAACCTCACAGGAGAGGGTGGCTGGACGTTAAGCAGACTGTGCTCACCTGATGGATGGGCGCCCTGGGATGCCCGCTCACAGCTGGCTCAGTACTGGTGTGGGCCATGGGGCACAGGGTGAGGTGGTGCGCGGTGAGTGTAGGAGTTGATTGCCAGGTGCCCCTCAGGTGGTGCTCGCCAACCTTCTTGGTAGCATGGCACACAGAGAGGTGGTGTCATCTGCCCCTGGGCAGGAGGCTGAGGGCCCACCTGGACTGTCAGTCCTGGGACAGGTTTTCCCAAGTTCAGGCTGAGGCCCACAGCACAGAGCTCACCTGCCAAGCAGGACAGGAAGTGGAAAACTAAATGCAGGGAGCTTGTGAGTCCTCAGTCCCACATCACAGCTTTCCAGGTAGGACCTCCTTTTGAGAATGCTGATTTTCATTTCTTGTAAATGGCAAAGACTCAGTTCCCATTATAGGCGCCCTCCCAGGCATATCCATCTTCCCCAGGTTATAGGTGAGTCACAGAGCTGGAAGTCCCTGGTCCCTTGCCGACTGAAAGCTGGTGTGAGGTGGGGTTCTCAAGTGAGCAGCTCATGAGAGAGGTGCTGACCCGTGTGCCAGATTGGCTGCACTCCCAAAATCACAGTGTCATCACAGAGGGCCATGGTTTTTTCTAAGGCGTGGTTTAAGAATATAAATGAGCCTCTTTAATGAAGATTTTTTTAAATGCTAAAATGAAAAGATGTTTATGAAATATTGGAGTCTTGAAATATTATTGTTTTTAGTTAATAGAGGTGATTGAAGGTGTTGGCCACATTTTCCCCAGCCTAGTACATATCTGAGGTAACTTGAAATGTTTCAGTTTTGATGAGTTGGTTCGAGCACCTGTGACCTGTTTATGTAAGGCAGATTGTGCCATAATCTTTATTTCTCACCCAGTCTTTTATCATCTGAGCAGCTTCATTCAAAGCACATGCCTCATAGTTACGTCTCATATTTTCTTTTTTCTTTATCAATATTACTGAGACTTCCATTCTTGGGGTTTTTCTTTGTTTTTGGGGAAAGAAAGTTGTAAAGGTAATTCCCAGGGGGCTTCTGTCCTATCTGTCCTCTTCTAGTCGTGGAGCTTAAGAGGTTTGAGTCAGCACCAGAGGGGGAAAGGGTGAGCATTGAGAGCAAGCAGTTAAGGTAGCTGGGGAGGGTGGTACCGCCCCCATTCTTTTTTTTTTTTTTTGGTGTTATTAATGTGCAATTACATAAACAACATTATGGTTACTAGACTCCCCCTATTATCAAGTCCCTACCACATACCCCATTATAGTCACTGTCCATCAGTATAGTAAGATGCTATAGAGTCACTACTTGTCTTCTCTGTGCTGTACTGCCTTCCCTGTGCCCCCACCTACATTATACGTGCTAATCGTAATGCCCCTTTTTCTCCCTTATCCCTCCCTTCCCATCCATCCTCCCCAGTCCCTTTCCCTTGGGTAACTGTTAGTCCATTCTTGGGTTCTGTGAGTTTGCTGCTGTTTTGTTCCTTCACCTTTTTCTTTGTTTTTATATTCTACAGATGAGTGAAATCATCTGATACTTGTCTTTCTCTGCCTGGCTTATTTCACTGAGCATAATACCCTCTAGCTCCATCCATGTTGCAAATGGTAGGATTTGTTTTCCTCTTATGGCTGAATGATATTCCATTGTGTACATGTCCCACATCTTCTTTATACATTCATCTACTGATGGACACTTAGGTTGCTTCCATATCTTGGCTATTGTAAATAGTGCTGCGATAAACATAGGGGTGCATATGTCTTTGAATCTGAGAAGTTATTTTCTTTGGGTAAATTCCAAGGAGAGGAATTCCCAGGTCAAATGGTTTTTCTATTTTGAGTTTTTTGAGGAACCTCCATACTGCTTTCCACAATGGTTGAACTAGTTTACATTCCCAGCAGCAGTGTAGGAGGGTTCCCCTTTGTCCACACCCTTGTCAACATGTGCTGTTGTTTGTCTTTTGGATGGTGGCCATCCTTACTGGTGTGAGGTGATATCTCATTGTGGTTTTAATTTGCATTTCTCTGATGACTAGCGATGTGGAGCATCTTTTCATGTGTCTGTTGTCCATCTGAATTTCTTCTTTGGAGAACTGTCTGTTCAGCTCCTCCTCTTTATATAATTTGGATGTCAACCCTTTATCGGATATGTCATTTATGAATATATTCTCCCATACTGTAGGATGCCTTTTTGTTCTACTGATGGTGTCCTTTGCTGTACAGAAGCTTTTCAGCTTGATATAGTCCCACTTGTTCATTTTTGCTTTTGTTTCCCTTTCCCGGAGAGATATGTTCATGAAGAAGTTGCTCATGTTTATGTCCAAGAGATTTTTGCCTATGTTTTTTCCTAAGTGTTTTATGGTTTCATGACTTACATTCAGGTCTTTGATCCATTTTGAGTTTATTTTTATGTATGGGGTTAGACAGTGATCCAGGTTCATTCTCTTGCATGTAGCTTTATTCTTCCTTCTCAGGATTGCTTTGGCTATTTGGGTTCCATATCAATTTTAGAACTATTTGTTCCAGTTTGTTGAAGAATGCTGTCAGTGTTTTGATAGGAAGTGCATTGAATCTGTAGATTGCTTTAGGCAGGATGGCCATTTTGACAATATTAATTCTTCCTACCCAAGAGCATGGGATGAATTTCCATTTATTAGTGTCCTCTTTAATTTCTCTTAAGAGTGTCTTGTAGTTTCCAGGGTATAGGTCTTTCACTTCCTTGGTTAGGTTTATTCCTAGGTATTTTATTCTTTTTGATGCAGTTGTGAATGGAATTGTTCTCCTCATTTCTCTTTCTACTAGCTCATCGTTAGTGTGTAGGAATGCAACAGATTTCTGTGTATTAATTTTGTATCCTGCAACTTTGCTGAATTCAGATATTCTAGTAGTTTTGGAGTGGAGACTTAAGGGTTTTTTAAGTACAATATCATGTCATCTGCAAACAGTGACAGTTTGGCTTCTTCCTTGCAAATCTGGATGCCTTTTATTTCTTTGTGTTGTCTGATTGCTGTGGCTAGGACCTCCAGAACTATGTTGAATAAAAGTGGAGAGAGTGGGCATTCTTGTCTTATTCCCTATCTTAGGAGAAAAGCTTTCAGCTTCTCGCTGTTAAGTATGACGTTGGTTATGGGTTTGTCATACATGGCCTTTATTATGTTGAAGTACTTGCCCTGTATACCCGCTTGTTAAGAGTTTTTATCATGAATGATGTTGAATTTTGTTGAATGCTTTTTTTAGCATCTATGGAGATGACCGTCCTCATTCTTAAAGTGTCTTTTTGTTTAACCACTGACATGACTGTGTGTTTTCTCGTAGCTCCTTTATTCTGTGCAGACCCCTCTTCATGAGTTTATAATGACCGTTCAGACTTGGCACATGGACACGCCTGTTCACCGGGGTGTGCTTTCTACTGTCATTGCTGCATCTGTGGTGGAGATAAGTCACCAGCTCCGAAAGGTGAAGTCTTTGATCCTGAAACAACAGTGTCTCTGACTCTACAAAATGCTTTTATACTGGCAGCTTGTTTTATGTTTTCCAAGTAGTTTTGAAGAGGTCAGAGTGTGGTGGGTGGTCTGTGCTTCTCTGGCTCCAAGTCCTATGGCTCCTGGGAACACTGTTAAGGAAATTGTCATTCTCAGGTAAAAACACCCAGGCCATCCACTGCAATATTTCTCTTTGCCACACTTGAGGGATTAGGCAAGTTGATCCATTTCCGAAGCCCTGTCTCCTGGTGGGGTAAAGGCAGCTGTGGTCCATGCCGAGCAGGGTGCCGGTCTGCCTGCGGCTGCATTTCTGCAGCTGTTCATATCTCTGCCTGCCATCTGTAGCGTAAGCCTTACTTTCCACTTTAATTTCTAAGCATAGGAAACTTAAACTTCTGATAGCAGCTTAAACAGGGTAGTTTATTCATTCCTGCTCTGTTAATGACTGGCCATTTTCCTGACAGCAGCCCATTTGATAGGGATTAGCCTACTTGGTTAGAAAGACACAATCAGAGCGCCTGTTAAGGTGAGATGGGAGAGCACCCTTTGCCCACATTGGGCCTTGAAGACGAGGAGGGCATGGCACAGTGACAGCCAGTGAAAACAGTGGTTTTCTCAGTGTGAAAGACGAATCTGATAGGGGTATCACTGAACTATGTTAATATACATATATGAAAGTTAGATAAATTTTGTGTTATATAACCGTGACTGAAAGCAGTTAACTAAGTTCTAAAGCGCTGACAGAATTTAAGGCTCTCCTTACACTGTGAAGGAGGTCGTTCCTATTCAGGAAGGTAGTTACTAGGTGGTACATTGCATGGGAACTAGAGCTTAGCAGTGCAGGGAGCTCTGTAGCCAGCGGCTGTAAATCACCCAAGCGGCTGCAGGCCACACTGGCCTCCGTCTGTTCTGGACACGAGGTCCTGTGGGAACACAGCCACCCGCATGTGGACACCTGTTTCCTGCGATGGTACAGCAGCAGAGTGAACAGTTGAAGCAGGGACAGCTCTGCCCGCAGAGCTGGAAATACTGTTTTACTTAAATATATACTTTTTTGCTACTGCACAGAAAGGGTTTGCTGACCTCTGCTGTGTGCCTTGTTCATGGCGTCTGGCTGGGTCTGTTGGCCGGTGTCTCTCCTGCAGGCTCATGGGGAGCCTGGCTGCATCTTGACGCCTTGCCTGGCCTCCTGGGAGGTGCCTCTGCCTTCACATGCACACGGCTCCTGGGAGAGCCTCTGCCCCTCTGGTGCTCTCATCCACGGTGTTGCCGGTTCTCGTGTTGACATAACGTATCTTTTACCCTTTTACTTTAACCTGTTTTTCTTTAAGTTTTTTCTTACAAACACCACATGAGTGGGTCTTTGTCCAATCTTATAATCCCTGCCTTTTAGTTGGAATGCTTAATCTATTTGATTTTTTTTTCAGTCCATTTTATTTCAATGAAATTATTGCTGTTTAGGTTTAAATTGACCATTTTGATGTTTTTCATTAGTCCCCTACTTTTCTTCCTTTCCTGCCAGTTTTTGATGAATCTAGTGTTTTTAGTGTTGACTTTATACTGTCATTTATGTAATTTTTAGTGGCTTCTTTATAGAGATTTTCATCTGTGTCCCAGTCTCCCTGCAGAAGTTGTGCGTACATCCAGCTGGCACTCTCCTACACTTTTGCTTGTCATGTATTTTACTTCTAGACATGCTAAAAATCTCAGGATACATCTTTATTTTAATGAGTCAATAGTCATTTGTCTCACTGTATTAGGAAAGCATTTGTAGCATTTAAGGTGTAGAGTATTTTAACCAGAAGCAGTGCTAGTTCTTGCATATGGTGATTGACGCTAATTGAATTAGTACTGTGAGTCCTGGCAGAGCTAATGCGAGAAGGCCAATTGGAAGTGCTCTCCAGTTGTGCCTAAGTGACATTGCCCAAGGCAGTCAAGAAGCAGGCAGGGCAGCAGTGGAGCGAGGTGAGGGGATGGGCGTCCAGGTGGGTAACAAAGGTGGGGCCCACCTGGAGCAGGGGTTCAGGACTGAGGCCCTCCCAGGAGCCACATGCATGTGAAGTTCATATTCCAGCAGTGGGTGACTTTGAACTCGCAGAGCTGCTCACAAAGGGCAGAGGCCCAGGCAGGGCCCCTGTGTGCACCCAGACCAGTGGTCTTTCATTGCGCTGGCAATGTCTGGGCTGTTTTTGGGTGTCCCAGCTGGGGAGGGGAGCTGTCAGCATCTGCTGGGTGGAGGCCAGACACCCTCGAAAGGAAGGTTCTAGTCCAAAATGAAACAGAAAACCTGATTGACATTAACACACACAAGTCAGATTTGCTCAGTGTAAAAATATTATTTACAGGAACAGTGTCAAATTGAAGGCTGTTTGACAAAAGGCTTGTTGACTGACACATCTGCTTTCTTCTGTCTAGTTGAATAAGGCACCCTGTGTGTGATCAAAGATTAATCATAATTATTGTAGACATTTCCACAGTAACAAAAATCATTCTCATGAATTTCTCAGGTTGGAAGGAAGCCCACCACAGGTAAAATAAATATTTAGCCCTGCCTCAGTTTGTAAATCACTGATTGGAACTTTTTTTAGGTTTCTGATGCAGAAGAGCTTACTGCCTCCGAGTGCCTTTCAGAGCTTCCCCCGTTTTCAAGGTGCTTAATAGGAATAATAATAAAATCTCCGAGTGTGGTCAGGTAACCATTTTCTCCTTACTTCTGAAACTCTTACCTGCTGTCAGCTCTCAGTAGCTTTTCCTCTATTCCTTTTACTCAAAACTTCTCAAAGATACATTTTTTGAGAATGCTTTTTCTTTGAGAAAAATATTCCATACAATTTTCTCTCATTTTATCAGCGATTAAAAATATTTACCTTATACAAAGAGAAATCCTAACTGCCTGTAAGGCAGATACATGTAAATAGTCCCCCAGTTGTGCTTATCACAGCTAAACTTCAGCAGGAAGAAAACATTTAAGATGTCAGTGTGCACTCAGATGCTTCCCTCTGTGGATACACTCAGACTCGAGTGGCTGCACACTGTGGGCCCATCTTCTCCATCCCCGTGTCAGCTGGCCACCGTGCTGGGTTCGCCATGGCACAGACAGGGCCAAGGATTATGGGAGGAAGTGTAGATATCTGATGCCTGTGGAGTTTTAGAAGCAGATACATTCAATGAAAACTTTAAAAAGCATCATTTTTAACAGCTATGAATTACCTTTTGAAACACTAACTCTTTGTGTGTGTTGTGGGCATACAGAGTAGCTGACTTCACTGACTGTATAGCCCCCATTCTCTTTTTGGCAGCATCGTCTGACTTCTTTATCTGTAGGATTTGGCAGACTTATAGTAAGAAGCATGGCAAAGTCTAATCAACTTCCCATTGCTTGAAAACTAGATGAGTTGGTTGATGAGTCTTGGCTATATTTGTCTTTCTGTTAAGTATTAGGATGTATATACTGTAGAGTAATTTTGGATGTTATTAATTTTTTGCAGATCATTTTTAGATGAATTAAAGGCATGTGTTACTTCTGACGATATTGAAGGCATTGTATGTCTGACAGCTGTAATGCACATTATTTTGGTTATTAATAAAGGTTGGTTAAACTTTCTCTTTTACTGTCTGGGATATAACCCACAGAATGGTTATGGAATGTGTGGGAGCTCAGCGCCCATGTTTGCCGAGTCCCCTGGCTCCCTCTGCTTGGTTAACCCTGTACCAGTTTGTACACCAGCTAGGCCGTGCTTTCCAGCACTATCCCTGTCCACTTTCCCCACTGGACCCAATTACATATCCCTCTCTGCACCTCAGAATTGAACTGTTGATTTGTCATATATTAACTATGTTTAAAAACTCTGGATTTTTTTTGCTAATGATTGTGTATTTGGCGGTTAATATTTAATATATCTTGTTTTGCATAAGCCTTAAACCTTGCCTATTCTGAGTATCACAGCAGATGAACTGTTGTTAAATTTCTATACTTTTTGCTATTTCACTGGTGTTGAAATTATTTTCTAAGATTACCTGTCAAACATAGAGAGTGCTCCTATGGAAGCAAGCTACCCCCAGAAGCCTGAATATATATGTCTGAAGATGTCTGATAATACTTTGTAACTACTTTGGCCCAGGTCAGGCCCCAGAAAGGGCTTCCCTAAGGGGCCGTCACCTGAGTTGAGATCTGCAGAATGAGGGGAGCATGGAGGTGTGGGTGCTGATGAACACCTCGTATGTGACAGGTACTTAAGTACTTGCCAAGCAGATGATGCCTCAGGTGTGGTGGTTGTCGTCTGTGATGGAGGCTCAGGCGAGTGTCAGTCTGGTGACTTGGGCAGAGCTGATAAGGGGCTCTCACACAAGTTGGTCAGATCCTCAGTGCCTGTGGCGGGGGTAATGACTGTGCCGAGGGGGTTAGGTCATGGGGGCTGGGAGGCTCAGTCCCATTGAAACTGCCTTCATTGATAACACAGTGCTTGCTGTGTGTGATGGTGTTAAATCTTTTTTCTTTCTTTCCTATAATTTTCCCATAGGTAAACATAAGAGTTCAAAAGTAAAGGATGTTGCAGCCACTGTTCACAGAAAACTAAAGACATTCATGGAAATTACTCTAGAAGAGGATAGCTTGGAAAGGTAAGTGCCTGGTAAGCTCCAGGTGTGATGATGTGAGATCTGCTGGCTATTCCTAAGGCATATTTTAGATCACATTTTCATTTCTGCTGCTTAGAGCCAGGTAGTTAGAAAATGAGCGTTGTAAAAATAGAAATGTTTCTGTCAGCAAAACCCCTTAAACATGGGTTTAATATATTCCCTAATCCTGTGTTAAAAAATGAAAACTCCCATGTTCATCGGGCTGTTTGTAGACAGCATTTCTGCTGCTGTGTACTAATCTGACATGCTGTACGGTTTCCTGTAGGCTCTTATGAATTGTGTTTGGCTCTCAGACCAGCCACAAAAATGTTTTTCCCACTGTTTTATGAATTAGTCTGAGGTTAAGAGTTACAGAGCTCCAAACTAGGTAATTCATTTTACATATACCTGGAAAACTGGCCACTTACCCTAGCCAGTTCCTCTTTAAAGAAAGGCTTTCAAGATCCTAAATTGCTGACTTATGAATGCAGACAGCTTTAGCTCTTCCTTCCCACCCTGTATGCCTTTCTTTCCTTTTCTTGTCTTATTGCGTTAGCTAGGAGACTGAGTGTCATGTTGAAAAACAGTGGTGAGAGGGGACATCCATACCTTGTTCCTATCTTAGTGGGAAAGCTACTATCTCACTGTTAAATACAATGTTAGCTACAGGCTTTTTGTAGATGTTCTTTATCAAGTTGATGAGTTCCCCTGTCTTCTTAGGTTACTGAGTTTTTATTATGAATGGTATTAGATTTTATCAAAAGCTTTTGATATGCATCTGTTGATATGATAGTGTGATTTTTCTTCTTAGGCCTGTTGATGTGATGGATTACATTAAGTAATTTTCAGATATTGAACCAGCCTTGTATACCTGGCATAAATCCACTTGATCATGGTGTATAATTTTTTCATATATTGGTAGATTTGATTTGCCCTCATTTTGTTGAGGATTTTTACTTCTGTGCTCATTAGGGATGTTGGTCTGTAGTTTTCTTTTTCTTCTCCTTCCTCTCTCTGGCTTTGGTATTAGGCAAATGCTGCTTCATAGAATCAGTTAGGAAGTATTCTCTCTGTTTCTGTCTTGTGAAATAGATTGTAGAGAATTAGTATAATTTCTTCCTTTAATTTTTGGCAGAATTCACCAGTTAACCCATCTGGGCTCAGTGCTTTCTGCTTTGGAATATTAATAATTAGTGATTCAATTTTTTAACATATATGGGTCTGTTCAAATGGTCTCTTTCTTCCTGCATGAGTTCTGGCAGGTTGTGCCTTTTCAAAGATCTGGCGCATCTTGCCTGGACCATCAGGCTTGTGGGTGCAGATGTCCACAGTGCACCCTAGCTGTTCTTTTGGACTCTGCAGGCTCTGTAGTGAAGCCCCTCTTCATTTCTGATATCAGTGATTTGTGTCTTGTCTCTTTTTTTCTCAGCCTGCTGAAGGCTTATCAATTTTATTGATCTTTTCAAAGAACCAACTTTTGGTTTCATTGATATTCTTTTTTTTATTTTTATTTTTATTTTATTATTATTATTTAATATTTTTTTATTTTGTTATAATTAATCTATAATTACATGAAGAGCATTATGTTTATTAGGCTCCCC